AAAAAGAACTAGCAAGATTATTGGGTGCTGTATTAGCCTTTTAGTTACAAAATTCAACCAACCGAAAGTGTCTTTCGATTATTCAATTCCAGAGTGGTATGATACATCAAATTGATGCAAGTCGAAATTTTACTTAACTAATTTCAGAGTGAACTTGGACTAGAAACTGGACATTGAATGAAATCGCCTTTATCTGGATTATGATGCTATTGGGGACCTTACACCTTTGGTTTGGTTATTATTTTGGTTCCATATTGAAAGCTTAGGTACATAAACCGCTTTTTTCTACTCATCAAGTCCTGAACTAGTATAATTGTGACATATGTGTTCATCATCATAGGTGGGTCGTATGGTGGCACCAGTACAGTACGTACTGACAACCTGATTGCACTATAATTGTTAGGAAATTGAGTTAGAAATATCTATGCGGAGTATTAAATAAACAGTACCGCATTGAATTCCAATCTTGAATTCCCTTTTGTGCCGCTATTATCTTCTAGGGTTGTTTTAGGCACAGGTTGAACTTCATTTGTAGTGCAATATAAAAATTGGACGAATGCAACTGGATGAGAAAATGCATGCCTGCAAAAACGACCGGGCTGTTAGGAGACAGGTATTGTCCTTTTCTTCCTCCACCCAAGTTCATGTTTGCTTATCATAATGGGCGCTGGATGAAATCTATTGATAAATTGGCATGCTTATTAAGTAAGCTGAGTAATTAAGTGTGATAGAGAGTATTGATGAGTGTGTTCTCTTTTCGTTGCTTTCGGGTACTGGGAACTAAAGTAATTTGGTGATGACGGGGGATGGCACGGACATGGGGTGCAAAGCTGTCAGCGGCTGGTGACCAGGGAGCTTCATTCTATGGGACCCTACTGGCTCAAGTAGTGTACAATCCAACTCGTGATGCCTATGCGGACAACCTCCGTTCCCTGTGTCAAAACTTCGGGTCATCCCATTTGATGCACCAGAAGCTGATGTTGCTGAGTTCTCCATGGGTGGACATCGTTGAGGTCTCTTTGCCACAAGAAATGGCAAGTTCATGGGGGAAGCCTTTTGTGTTTTGGGGTACATCCTCTTCAAGGTCTGATTTTGCCTTTCAAGGAATAGGCAGAATATGGGCCGGGAGATATGTTGAGGTGTCAGAAGTAAGAGGCAGGAATATTCTACAAGGCAAATCGCAAATGAAGGTTTCTGATGCTCGTGGTGGTCCCCGCAGAAATGTTCAAAGGGCCAACTTTATTGGGAAGGGAAGGCTCAGCAGAACATACGGGGTATTGCGGTGGTTGAGGGGGATTGCCATTTCGAGCGGCAAGGATACATAAGGATTTTTTTAGGGACTGTGTGTGCGTGCGCTCAATTCATTTTCAAGGAATTCAGGAAGGCAGGCCAATGGACGGGTTTTGTAGAGTTTGCAAGTGCAGAGATTCCACGGCAGCTATGGTAAGGGATGGATGACATGGAAGTCGAGTATATCGAGTTGTTCCCTTCATCACACGAGGAGTTGGATGAAGCAGTAGTTTCAGAGGACGGTGAATCCTTATAGAATCTTTGTTAATTTGCCATTATGTGCTGGTTATAATCTTTATTTCACTGTTTGAATTTCGATGGCAGACATGCAGTTAGATTTTCTAGTTGTTGGGTTTGGGAGAAGTTTTGCATACTAGTTTTGTCCGCTTCCTTAATAAGGTCTCTGGTGCCTTAACTTTATATAGCTCGACACATTGTTGGGTCAATACATAGGTCCATGAAATTAATGACTATTTAAGGTCGAGTTCCTGTTATCTTTCAGAATTTTTAAGTTGGGTGGTAAGAAAAAACGTTTCTCAGGTGTCGGCTATTGATGTGTTAGGCATAGAGGGGTGAATATGAAATGCCCTATTTTGTCGGCTTCCTTATTTTAGTAGACGAAACAAGGTTTTTTTGCTTAGTTTTTAGACAATATATCAAAGTACTTGTGTGTTGTCTTCTTTGTACAGGGTGCTTCAGTAATTATAGATTAGTTGCAACTTGTCTGACTATCTCGCACCTTTTCCCTTTTGAATTTTCTGAACTGGAGTTTAAACAACTATCAATCTCTTGTACCGTGGCTTATAAAAACGAAGACAAACTTTAGACATATGGGTGAGAAGGAAGACTAAATTGAGAGTAAAGAGTTGCCTTGAAACCGTTTTCTTGCAGTGTATGTAAATGTAATAATTATTATAATACATTGCAGTATTAACTATGGCTTTTGGTAGGAGTGAGTATATAATGTAGGATACTGCCCGACTCTTTCCTTTCTGCAAACCTCGGTTAACACTGTGCAAAAATAATTCATCAAAAAACCAAAGAAAAAAAAAAAATTCTACTCTTCAACTATTGCCTTGACAGGATCTGAATGAGTCTACTTACCAAGGAAGGGAAGTTTTTTCCTGGTCTATGTTGTTGCTGACATTGTTAGTTGTGTGGAGTTGTCAAATGGTATGAAAAAAATCTACAAGTTAAAATGCTGCAGTTATATAAAAATCCCATTGAGAAAACCTCACACGATTATGGGGATTCATCCCCATCCCCAAAATTATTGCTTTCCTTCCTTTGAGTTTGTGTACGCATTCATGTGCAACCCGCCAGAATTACGTGAGGTTGGCTCTCTGCTAAATTATTCCTTTGGAGCAGGACAGTGAATGAGTTGACATAGAGGTTAGTTGGAAGGTTCCATTGTGTTGGAAAAGAATCGCTTTTTAGCAGGCTTTCCCAAGTTGCTCATAGTTTAACCAAAGTCAACCCTCTTCATCTCTCAGGCCATAAGTGTAAGAATCTAATCTTCAATTACAAGTCACAACGGTTAGTGGGGAATTGGGACACAACGGCCTAATGGATGGATAAAATGTTGTTAATCATTGGCTACAAGTACAAGAAGTAGGCAATACAAATCATTAGCTCATCAATCATCCAATCCAACAAATGAATGTAGGTTTGAGGACGTTAGTATCAGTTTAAGGAGGAAGCAGAAACTAAGGAATCAGAGAAATTTAGGAATCAGAGGACTAAGGAATCGCGTATGGGAAGATCATTCGCATAAGCGTTACTAAACATATTAGATTAGCAATGGAATGCGATGATTCCCATGGTCAGTTATAATTTGCATGAATCAGAATCCAAATTAATTGTAGAATATTATTGTCAAGTGATACGGTATTTTTGGAAAGTTATGAAGAGAAAAGGGAAACAGGAAGAGAAATCGTTATGACTACTCCCTAGTTGATTGATTCATAAGTTGAGGGAATGTGATACGGATGTTTGCGAGGTGGGGCCCCATTAGTTTTCATTCATGTGCAAGTAAACGCAGAGGGAGAGTCAGGAATGGAAATCATTCCCTTTCCTCTAGTCCATTTATGATACCTAAATTGCCTGAATGATATCAACCTTCTCAATTTAATTGTGAAAGCAGTCAACTTGCTAAATATTTTGTTGCTAAACAATACGCATGTCGCCGACAAACTATCAAACTAGATTGTCAAGTATCAAGTGAATACACTTTATTCTGACCTCAAATAGACAATCTAACAAATAAGTGATACCTCATTAAACTATTTGAATTGATAATTTTAAAAATGATATATATGAATGTTTCTTAGATAGACAAACTTACGAGACAAGACTCACTAGGAAGTATGTATGTAGCAAAACAAAAAACAATGGGAAGTTAACGTCCAAAAGAGATTATTAAACTATTAAACTAGTAACATGAACACGAACAACTAGATGGACCCATGTCACATTCCACAAAAACAAAACAATCACAAATAATTTTCTTGTATGCCATGGCTCTGGACAGGACACGGGACACGTGTACAATATAAAATTCCTGTCTTTAGGATAAACTGAGAAGCAAGAAATGCCTTTACAAAAATTCTCATAAAAGATGGAGGAAAAAACAACGAGAGGAGCACACCACAGCTTGAATGTATGTCAATAATAGTAATTTTGGGCCGCAGACACAAAAACCAGGTTGATTGAGATTTTTCCCAACTCATTTGCTCTCGGATACAATTAGCTAACTATGACAATAAATATTATTAATTTTACTGTATAATCAAAGAGAATCTTAATATTAATGTTCGAGGGCAGGTGGCTATCTTGTATTGCCCTATTATTATTGGTTCTAGTGAAATCCCTAGGAGGCAAACAAAATTAAATTATTTTCTTCGTTTTATATACATCAGAAGTTTACTTCTTTTTTTTTAATAGATTAGCGGGAGGAGAGCAATTTAACTAGTATTTTATTAATAGAATTCAGACTATTTAATCCATTAGTGACAATATTTAGTTGGACTCGAGTTTCGTTTAGATAATTTGCACCATTTTGTAGCTAGTTTTTTTTATCTCTACTTGTGTGCTTCTGTTTGAAATAGTGTGGTTTTAAAATTTGTATATAAGGTCGTTTTTTGATAAATTCAAATATTATTCTAAAACTGAAGAAAGAAGGTATTTAATCACTTTTAATGCGTTCTTTAATTCACGGGCAGCGGGTCCTTTTTTTTTTTTTTTTTTTTTTTTTTTTTTTTTTTTTTTTTTTTTTTTTTTTTTTTTTTTTTTTTTTTTTTTTTTTTTTTTTTTTTTTTTTTTTTTTTTTTTTTTTTTTTTTTTTTTTTTTTTTTTTTTTTTTTTTTTTTTTTTTTTTTTTTTTTTTTTTTTTTTTTTTTTTTTTTTTTTTTTTTTTTTTTTTTTTTTTTTTTTTTTTTTTTTTTTTTTTTTTTTTTTTTTTTTTTTTTTTTTTTTTTTTTTTTTTTTTTTTTTTTTTTTTTTTTTTTTTTTTTTTTTTTTTTTTTTTTTTTTTTTTTTTTTTTTTTTTTTTTTTTTTTTTTTTTTTTTTTTTTTTTTTTTTTTTTTTTTTTTTTTTTTTTTTTTTTTTTTTTTTTTTTTTTTAATTACTTATTAAATGCACAGATAACCAGAAGAACACAAATAACACGCACACACACACACACACACACATACATACTCTTCACACAGTCTCAGGTCAATATAACAATACTATCCTAAAAACACAGTAACAAAATGAGATGATATTGAAGAAACTATCAGGATATAAGTAAAAGTGACCTTTATGTCCATCTGAAATGCAGTTACCACCATCTTCATTTCCAGCAACCTGCAATCACTGAACATTCAATAAAATATTAGCTATTAAATCATGATCTATGAAGACCACTTTGCAGTTCATAGAGTATTGACAACATAGGCTTTCAGATTTGAACAATATTAAATAATAACCAACAAAAACACTAAATAAATAGGTAAATTCCAGAACATAAGACCTTAAAATCCATATCCCCAGATGCATCTTCAGATCAGTTATGTCAGAGAGAATCAGTGGAGCACCATCTCCCCCAAATTCCTCAGTTTCCAGAACCATACCCATCGCTATCCCAACTATAGAGCACTTGATCGGAACTCCAGCATCTTGCAATGCTAAGCATCCCCCACAAACAGATGCCATACTGTATCCTCAAAAAGGATAGTGTTAAGAGGTAATCTTAGCCTCGATGTCAAAAAATTGATGATGTTAAAGATGTTTGAAATATATTTGATAACAAAAATATATTATTTGTTTGATGAAATTGAAAAAAGCCACCTTGAAGAGCCATTGCTTTCAGTAATTGTGCTCTCAACACGTACAGTGTAAGGAAAATCATCTTCAGAAGGCAAAATTGGTTCAAGAGCTCTCTCAGCAAGCATTCCATGACCAATTTCTCTTCTACTAGGTGCTCCATTCCGTCCAACTTCCCCAACACATGATGGGGGAAATGTGTACTGAAAAATTAATACATTATTAGCAAGGTTCCCAACACTTATAAAATGCAGAAATGCAAGACTATTTTGAAATGGCATCATTTGCATAACAGAATTCGAACATCAACAAAAGGTGGTAATTCCAATCGGAGAAAAATTGTTATGTAATGAAACACCTCGTTTTTCTATAACTCTATTTATGACCATGACGGTAACTACGCAGACAACAGTTGCAAAAAAACATAAAAGAAATTATCATAGAACTGTCAAATATTACTTCTGTTCAACAATGACAATTCATAAGTTAAATGCTTAAAGGAAACAGAGAAAATCACAAAAATATCAATCTTCTTAAGATCAGAAAAGTTGGGCACAATATCATATCTACTGTACTTTGAACAGAATTATTATAGCTATAAGAAATTATGCGTACGCCAGAGACTACATTGCCAAAACATGGTTCACCACATCCTCAATTACTAAGATGAAGAGATATAAAGAGAGAGACCTGGAGATAGAACCTCTTCCATTCATCTACCCCTACTAGGTTGTCTATCCTCTGTGCCATCTGCTTATCACCGAGTGTAACAACAGCCAATGACTGTAAAATAGAAAAAATGAAAAGAAACGATTAATGACACTAAACTAAAATATCAACGGATAATTAAACTCAATGATGATCAGAATGGCAACGTAAGAACCTAAGTTGTTCATAAGAACTGTGGATTCAGAGAGTAGTAACAGGCTCAGTTAGAACAAATGAGAGTCAATTGAGATGCGTTAACAAATGTGGGGTGTGGCTAAAGGGTTAATTATACTCTTCTGCTCAATTACTAGTGTGCCGATCTTATTAAAATCATATAAGAGGTAACTAGCTTCGACTATAGCTAGACATAACACTAGTTCAAAAAAAAGAAAATTCATCTCAGCTTGAAAAATGATTCTTCTTACTATTAAAGTCACCAGCAAACAATATGAAGACAATGTAGCTCCATGGATGGTACCAAGTGTTTGGGAGAAACAAATCATGGTGAAATACTTAAAACACAAACACGTATATGCCACACACACACACACACAACACTAGCACATACATACAGAACAGGTAACTATCATCATGTGTTCTGAATATACATTGTAACGGCAATAACATTAATCAAAAAAGCAGTTTTGGTACACAAGATAATCAGGCATGCTGAATGATAAAATTCAAAACCTGTGTTTCTCCACGTGTGAAAAGAGCACTTCCATGTGCCCTGGGAAGTAGTCCACATTTTGAGTTAATTGGACGTATCTCATCTGGGGAACGCCCATCACTTCTTCTTCCACCCTGTAGCAACCACACACAAAAAATAAATAAATAAAACATGGCATGAATTAACTAGCACTTGTGGCGTTTAGATGACAAGAACCCATTTCAAGGTTAAAAACAAGGCTCCTGTCAGTTTAATAATTCATATCCTGCCTAGTAATCCATATCATTGTAACCATGTGTAGTACTCGCCAAACAAGAGCTAAATCACAAAGATCCTTTATGCCCAGAATAACCACTAACTATTTCAGTGTTCAAAATGAGCAACACAAAAACACTAACTACTTCAGCATTTCAAAATAAAAGATAAAATAGTCTGTATTGCTTAAAAAAAAAGAGCAGGTTATGAACAAAGAAATTTGCATATGTATAACTCTCTTCTGTTCAAAACAATTTCTGTTGCATTGCTCCTATAACTCAAAAAGGCATAGTTTGAAGTATCAAGGATCTGAGAATAAAATTATGTAGGCGGCAAAATATGTCAGCAAAGAAAGCATAATGTAGAATTTATACAGTTAAGTCATTCAACCTTCATTTGAGAGAATTTAAAAATCTTTATCCATGGGTAGATCTTTTTTGTGCAGGAGCGTGTACATTTCAAAATTTTCAGTTAGGGGTGGACATTTTAGCACATAAACTGACCGACACACTCAACCTAACCAAAACAGTGTGGGTAGTGTAGATGTTTCCTCTTTAATTGGGTGATCTCAGGTTGCTTCACCAGCAACCCAATTCATTTCCAGTCAAACAACTAGATGCAAACTCAGGAACCCATTTAAACCAACCTAAACTGTGAGCATAGGTGCATATTGAGACTTGAATGCTTGATTTGAAAGCCAAGTCTTCACCAAACAAACTGTTAGGCTACAATATCTATTGCAATAAGATCATGCATAAGTTATAACTTATATTTAATCCTTCCAAAATCCCTAACTGGTAACAGCCTTGTGGACAAAAATATAGTGAAGAAACCCTTAGTGATTCACTTATCAGAGCTTGAATATTTAGTGTACTTCATTTTATTGTTTCTTCAGACTTGGTAACAATTTGATATTTGCCCGACTTCAACTCAAAACATTCACACTAATTTTTACATCAACCTTTCAAAGTTGAATATGCTTAGCAGGTAATAGATATGTATCTTGAAACCTGATCACACATGAATCTTATACAACAGTGTCACTGATTTTGCTTTTCACATGTGATCATATGCAAAGGCAGCCAAGTTAGTTAAACAACATTTAATGACCAAAAACTTTATATACGGGGGAAAACTTATTCCAGATGCTGATCCAAATAGAGGTAGTTTTAAATGTCTACAACTCCGTATAATACTAATTTTCAAACAATAAACTTCCATTAGTGACCCTTGATCCTAAAGAAACAAAAAAGTCTCTAGAGTCTAGGTGATATAGGATATGGTTGAATTGAGTATTTAGGTAATATAGCGGAAGTGAAAACAATGGAAAACAGAGAATAGAATGAACAAGGATAGGTCTGGAATCACTCCAGGGGTTTGGCTTCAAACCAAGAAGTCTCCAATCTCTGGAAAATAAACTTTTCTCAATATCTCAATAACTCAACTCCATCATGAATTACATGGGGGGGGTTTTTATAGCAATCTAACCCCTAGAGTGAAAAGAAAATTAAACTTATTATAGGAAAGAAATCCTAAACCAAATAGAAAAAAAAGGTAATCAAATCTACATTTAAGAAAATAAGTAAACCAAATTCTAGTCAAACAAGAAATCCTGAAAATATAGAAAACTTGGACAACAAGTTAAAAACGCAGAAATCATCTACTGCTCCAATATTGCAGGATTTGAAGACAGAATTAAATAATTTCGTCTTCCATCTTTTTCTTTTGTAAACCCTAATGGTTTGACAAGGATGTCCTCATCACTAGGCCTCCATCGGTCAAACCCAGAGCCAAACCCAATTAAAACTTTAACCCGTACTTGTCCCAATCAAACTAGGGTTTAGAAATGGGGTTGAAATTGCTCTCACCCAAGAAAGAACCCAACCCTAAATTTCTCATACTAGTAAGTAGGTTTAATTTTCTTTAAATTTAAAAATAAAAAATCCTTTCACGTAATAAATATTATTAAAGGTCATAAGTTTAACAGATAACATTGCATCTAGTAAGCAAACACCAGCTTCACATCTGCCTCAGATACATTTAAGTAATATATCTAACTAAAAGCAAATGTTCATACCTCCACAATGCGCCTCCGCAAAAATTTGGATGTGACTTCTTTGAATACCAGCTTCACATCTACCTCAGAAAAGAACTAAAAATAATAATATTATTTAGTTACTACTGCACTCACAATTAGGTATTCATAAAACTCCGAGATAGAACAAGAATAATATGATTGTCAGTTGAAATATTCAAAAATATAACTGCAGCAACACAATCCAAAATAATGTAATACAGAAAAATCAGAATTGATTCTTTCTAATGGTTTAAATCATGCTGACCCATAAGTGCTCAGATAGAAAAACTTAAGGATTTGAACTACCTTGAAAATCGCTAGTTCAGAAACATAACTCTCATTGCTTGTTCAATAAAGTTCAATCACTTAAGTTGGAAAGTAATATATTTGTTAAATTTCTTGTGATCACATATCCTAATATTAGACTTCTTGGTGTTAACTCCAAAGAAGCATAACTTTCACCACAAGTCCAGAAAATTTCAAATACTATATAAAAATATCAACCACATGGGTTCCTGTATCACATTTAAATTCTATAAGGCCACACACTTCGACCAAAAAAACAAGACCCCACTGATAAGCCAAAGAATAAAAACTAGAATGTGAGAGTATGGAGACTTAGACATGAAAAGTCGACTTTACAAACATGTTTTGGCACACGAGGTACTCTCTTTGAAACTTCTTTTCAATATATTTTGTTCCAACTATAATTCCAAATCATGTGAAGGTCAAGCGACTAACGAAAGGGTACAACAACTGCATGACGGCTAGAAATCAGCCTTTTACAAAGCTTTTAGGACAAATTCACTGGATGCTCAGTAGGCAATTAGATATACAGTAATTTTTGGGTTATCAAAAGGTTGATTCCAGATCTTTTAAAGTATCTTAACACCATTCCAGAGCAATCTTCAACAAATTTTAGTAAAAGCAAATAACAATGAGATAATTCCATCTTTCTTAAATATGAACATATGTTTTAATAACTACATACACATACGATGAATATATGTATTATGTGCAAAAACAAAGGATAATGTCATTCACAGGATGACAAAAAACTTGAAATACAGAATAGAAAGATTTGTACCATACCAAGGGAGTTGACTTTCGTAAACTAGGCTTTATATGAACATCACCTTCATCTACTCACCATCCACAACCACTTCCTCGTCCTCATCCTCATCTTCAAATATATCTGGTATTGTTTCACTGCCTCCAAGAGCTGCATCCTTACTAACATATCCCTTTTCTGTAAGTATAGTCAAAACTTCTCCTTCCAATGACAAAAGAGCTTTTCTTCTAGGAATCTTGTCCCTAATCTGCAGAGCTCTTACCAACTCGTCACCGGAAATTTCCTGTGCATTGTCAATTATAATACGTGATCACTTGATGTTTGTTAAAAGGATAAGTAATCTGTCATCATATGAGAAGAATAGCAGCAAGGGCATAGAAACCAAGTAGGGTAAAAGAGAGAGTATGGAAATGAAGAATTAGATAAACAGTGAGGATATGGTACATTTGTGTGTGTGTGTGTGTGTGTGTGTGAGGGGGGAGAGAGAGAGAGAGATCAACCTAATTCAAAGGTAATTTTTATTTTTTTTCAGTAAAAAGTACACAAGATTGAAAGCATACCTCAACATGATTATATAGCTCAGGGGGAGGTAACTTGATTGCATCAAGCATTTTTGCCTTTCCACACTTCTTAACCAAAGCTTCTACCTCATTGCAAATTGCTCGTACGGCCTCCTGATATTGATGTATAATCAAAATTTATACCTCTATGTGGATATTTATATGTTCTGGGAGTTTTCAAATAAACAATCAAAGAAGTAATGACAATGAACTCTTTGAACAACTAAATAGAGTTACTAATTCCTGAGCAGTGCCTTCATAGATATAAGAATTGTTTATGATCAAATATAGAAAGCACAAAATAATATTTTCAATATATCTGGAACCAAATCACCTCAAAAATAAATGTTACTGCTGATGCATTAGACTGGCCTATGAACGGTAGCTTTGGTTGTTAATTTCCAGTATTGGCAAACACCTAAATAACTAAAACTCAAACAGAGCAATTTACAATTAAATGTGACTCTCATTCAATTACCCTCTTCATCCTCCAATTTATTCAACTTATTCATTCTTGGCTACTTTGCGAAACATTCTTGAGTTATTGTCTCAATCTTTCACCCATTTCATTTAGTCTTTTCCCTAGAAGATGTTTCTCCCTTAAAAATTAAATCTTCGAACTTGTTTCAGAGCTCACATCACTCTTGAGTTTCCCTCATACTCTTCTAAATCATTAATTTCTTCTATTCCTTCCACGACTGTTAGCCACCTTGACATCACCAAACACTTGGTTAGAATTAAGCTTGGTTAAGCAGAAATCCTCTGATGTCTTATTCATCTCCAATGGGAGGTATTTATAGCTACACAAAAGTATAGGATACTCAACATGATAATGGCAGATTTTCTGCCACAAAAGCAACAGGGCGAGAGGACTGCCCCTCTTCAGTAATGTTTACTGGGGCTCCACAACTCCCAGTAAACATAGCAAAACATTGTGTCGTTGATTAAAGATATGATAGTGACAACATGATAGGCAGGCCCAACAACAATGTAAATCATATGAAATATACTGCAAAAAGAATTTCTAATACAAGCAAAGACAATGGCTTAACTTTTTATGACCACTTAGTAATGCTAAAGATAAAAATTATTTGCAAATTCATGTATCCTGCATGGGCAGCAAGGCCAAAATAATTGGAACATAGCATGTCTTAGTTAACTTCAAATAATAAAAAGCTGTAACTTGTGCAACCAAATAAACTACATACATAGATGAAGTAACAACCTGCCCAACTGCTACTGCTTGCAGCAACTTTTCCTCCGGGAGAAAGTCACAATAGCCCTGCAAAGAAGATGTTACACATAACGATGGATGTGAGTCAGCATGAAAACACGGAAACAGAGAAAATTTTCATGGAATTACTATATCCAACACTGGAGAAAGAAAAATGTTAATTAACACTCTTTTATGTCAGATATACAACATGAGTACATAAAGTGATGCAGACCAATGAATTTAAAAGCCCCAAAGTAAGAAGAAGAAAAAAACCTACATATATTGATGACACACATATACATATAACTAAAGATGTGGTTTAGTAACAGATACTTTCTACACTCGTTGACAGAACAAAGAGCAAGGATGCAATTTTTTTCACTGCTGATTAAAGTATTGAATATCATAACACCTATTGTAAATACTATTTTGCCGCATTGATCAAATTTCTAAAAGATGTATTTTACCATTTTAATAACAAATCAACAAAAATACAAATTATATATTGTTTATTTCCGTGCCCTGCAATAGACATTGCTTCTGCTACACCTAACACAAGTTAGAAAGCAGATATTTAATGTAGTCAATAAACAGCACATTGTTGTAGGTAATATCCCGAATTGGGTAACCATTTTCAGACCTCCACTAAGAAAAATGCAAACAGGAAATTCCGATGCAAAATTTTGATAACGAGAAATCTACCTCAAACTAGTTGATGGAATGCTTATAAAGTAAACTATAACACAACGTGCAAAGCTTATTGCAGAGCTGAGTACATAATTACCGATACCTTCTAATTAAATCCCAGAAATGTGCCTAGAAACTTGTTTTATAGTAATAAAGCTGCCATATGGATTCAAGATAGTCTGCATGATTGCTGTTACAAATATAATCCATTTGAGAAGCTAAAGTTGACAAGGATTTGGCATTGTCAAACATTACATTTAACTTTTCATTAACAATTTACCTCTATCATCAATATTGCATTATCTGTGCCAGCTAGCAATAAGTCCAACTCCGAGTCTTCCATCTCCTTAGTTGTTGGATTCACAATAAATTTGTCACCAATGAGACCAACTCGTACTCCTGCTATGGTTTTTGAGTTTGGAACTTCTGAAAGAGCCCTGTGGAATTTGAATAATTAGGCCAAATAAAGTGCCATTTTTTTATACTTAGGCCAAAGAAAGTGTCATTTTTTTATACCAAATAATTAAAAGCAGTCAGACTTACACTGCTATTCCAGCTGCTGTAACGGCCAAAGAATCAGGAGAGTGCAAACCGTCATAACTCAGAACCTGCAGAGATATGTTGACAAAGGAAGTTATCAGATGAAACATAAACCAAGTAAAACAACGGCACCATGACTCTGTATTGGTTCATTCTGTTTGACAATTAAAGAATTGATGAATAAGCATAATTAGCAGCACACTAAATCATAGTGTAAGTATCTTGTAAGTGCTCAAGTTGGCATACAAGTAGATTACAATTTGCTGAAAACAAAGATATTAGCAAACCTATTACATATATGCAGTTGAAATTCATACGGGACATACCCAAGAAAGTATCTGAGTTTCATGGTAGAAGCCATTCAACATAGTTGGACGCAAAGGCCTATCAATCAATCTACAAATGAGAACCTGCATACAATTGAAAGCTAAAACAATTGTATAAAAATAAGACAAGGGAGAACGTTGAGTTATGTACAATGAACACGTAACAGTACACTGATACATATTATGCTTGATAACTGACTTCTAGGTCGCCGAAGTTAAAAAAATTCTAAATAAAAATAAATAATAAAAACCCCAAAACCTCAGATTGTGTTGAAAGTTTACGTGGGATTTGTAGCAAGTACAATCTGTCTCAATATGGGGCAAAAAAGAGCGAAACAAAAAAGAAGAAAGTTTAAGAAAAAATTTCATGCTGAAGTTACAATTCTGCTCTTAAGTCTGATCTGAAAGGTATATCTTTGATAAGAAGCCATATCTAGAATAATGGGAATAGATTCTCAATAAAGTAGGGGACCTTTACTTTTTTTTCTGTACGGTTTGGGAAAAAAAACTCACACCTAGACATGATGTAAACCCACAACCACCTTCCACCCTTACTGATGGGGAGATGAGCTACCAATTGGCCAAAAGGCATATCTGAATTTGTGGTGGCTAATAAAGAACCACTGACCTCTAAATCACAATCAAAGAAAGATCTTTTTTAGTAAAAGAAACATAAGCAGTCCTCCTTGGTTACTTTCTTTCCTGGGACCTCGATGTTACACATACAACTTATGTAGGCGAATGGTTGCACGCCTTCTAAGGAAAAAAAATACATAAACAAACCAGACTCATAAAATAATGCAATAGCAATCCCATGATATAAGCATCTTGAACCGAACGTCTATGATTCATCAAGACAGCTCCAGCTGTCAGGAGAGGAATCAAGGGTTCATAATACTAAAATGCTACGGCCAAGTACCTCATGATCTTTCGCCCTTCCTTCTCGTTTGAAAAAGCCTCCACTGGAAGAATGACAGAAGCAAAGTATTGAAAAAAAATGCAAGCAACAAAAGTCTAAGCAACTAAGATACAGGAAAAAGGTCCAAGACACACCTAGTTCGACCTGCTGCCGAAAAGCGCTCCTGATAATGTACCGAAAGAGGGAAGAAGTCCGAAGGTTCACTTGGAACGTCAGCCAAACAAACAGATGTGTAAACGATCTACAAAAAGAAAGATATATCTGCTAAATCTTCACTGTCAGAAATCTAAGTTCAGCCACAAGAATGACAGTAAGAATTAAAGGTGATAATGCAAAGTAACACATCAATCTATTACTTAGCAGCTAAAGTAATAAATGTGTTTCTTATGTTATTAAAGAAGAATCTGTTTTACTGCATAACACAATGCAAAACCTTTTAGCTTTCCATTATTAGATGAGAAATCTGTATTTATGCTAGTAAAGGATGAAAATATTGATATCAGTCGTATTATCCATACTCCAAAATTATGGAAAATTGGAAATATAGGTAAGAATCATGGAAATGAAATAAGTTCATGTTATAACATGGACATGTTGAATGCTTTTTTCGTAAATCAGTCAATAATATATACAACACTTTAATTTCCTCAAATAGTATATTCAATTATATATAAACAGTTATTCTCTCATCCGGAATGTCCACACATTATTATCATTCAGATGCCATTGTAAACAGGGAAGAAAGAAGAGAGGGGTAGTAGAAAATACATGGCGTCCGCACGATAATAACGTCTGGACGCATAGGAGAATTTCTGTATATATATATCATATACGACATGGTAAAAAGAAGTTAGCATGCTGACTAAATTATGCTTATAAATAATTTATGTGCATGTACATAAAATTTTGGACAGATACATAAGCAAAATTGTGGTATCTCATTGTTTATCCCTGCATTTCTGCATTTCATAAGCTATAAAATGTATTTTAAAAAATGCTCGGCAAAAGGCAAAATGAAAAATAAAATAAATACCAATTTACCCAAATATATTGTCAACACACATTATGCAAGCCACTACCCCCAATCTGAAACTTGTTAGATAAAACAATTTTTTAAAAGAAAGACACATGCCCATTTTAACTTGGCCCAATGCAAAATATAGGCCCTTTTTCAATACAGAAAGAAAGCCAAGCCCATTTTGAATCCAAAGCAATAACACTAACTGGTACTAAGTCTATGTTTCTATGTTGGCATTGGCATTTCCTTAGCCAACATTGAGTCTGCGTCTGGTTAAATCTAGTCAAGATGGAACAAAGGCTACTCAAGTTGCTTTATATGGTTTAAGCAATGAGAATTTCAATAAGCTCCCATATCTGACTTGATTCTGGTAGCTAGGTGACTTAAAATACTAACATCAGCAATTCTAGGGTGTTAGACTTCCACATTTACATGACAATGCATTATTGATTGCATGGCTTTAAAGTAAAAAATGTTTGGAAATTAGATAAAGTTGATTTTCTGGGTAGAATCAATTCTTTTGCAAATATCCAGCAGACGAGGCTGGATTTAATAATGTCTGCTTGAAAAATTTTCCAAATGATTTTAAAAACTACAAAGTTAGTGGCTTTCAAGTCAAGATCCGTAGATAGTATATTGACCGAATGAGATTGCTTCAAGAAATTTTCTAAAATCAAGATTTTTAATTTTGAAGTTTCTTATTCAATTTAAGTTTGTTCAAACTTACTTGTTTTAGCCTTGGGAGGTTACCCTGGGTTTGTAAAACCTTGTCTGACCATGCAAATATATAGTTTGCAAAATTTTAGAGAAAACTTTGCACCTTCAACTGGAAGACTTTAAAAGAGATTTTGTGCGAACCTTTTTGCAAAGCTCATGAGCCTTTCAAATTTGATTCTCAAACTACTTTAAGTGCTCAACTTGATTTTCAGAGAACTCTTGCCTTTAGTTTTCACACATGTTCATTGCATCCTAACGTTCACAAACCTTTGTCATTCGTACATGTCATCAATATAACCCTAGGTTAAGGTGGTTGACTTAAATCAAGCTCTAATTTATAGAGTTTATCCAATTTACACGTCACCAACATTTTTCTGAGATGTCAGCGACAATTCTAAAATGTTGACGGACATTTTCAGTGTCAGTCGACATCCCAACCCTTGTTTAATCCCTCTTGCTTGTATATAAAAGCAATTACTAAAAATCAAAAAAATCAAAAAAACTGTAGGGAAATAGTATAACACCAGAAAAGGAACCATTTTTTTCAGGCACGCAATTATAACTTACGGTTTCTCCGTCTGTCACTGTAACAGAGGCACTGGCTTGTCTCCCAATATGACCTGTCTCAACCAAAATCTGTAATGATTCCAAAACAAAATATTACATGATGATACAACCGAGCTTAATTTAGCATATCTTTTTTCTAATAAACAAGTACCTATGAAACAATTATCAACACAATTTAATTGAACTGCTAAACATCCTTTCTGGAAACTACGGGCCTTGTTAACACTTCTAAAAAGGTACACAGAACTATTAGAACTTCGTTCAGTAAAAACCTATGTTTTTCTTTTTATGTCACCTTTCAGTCCTAATGAATGTTCCATATACTAGGAATTTAATCTAATTGCGTTTTGCAGAAATTAATTTTTCTGGAAAGCACTGCATATGCCAGGCGCATATGAGTGGAACACATGATAAGAGCCCTTTGAAAAGAGATAAAATAGCTCAAAAGAAAAATAATCTAACAATGCGAAGTAACAGGATTAGGTTTTTCTGACACTAATTTGAAATGATCAGTAAGACCCACTGTGTTCTTTCCCATTCTAAGTTTGTTTCATTTACAAGTTTTGCACACCAAAACATTTTTCTGAAAATTGGTTTGCCATCATATTCTACTCCTTTTTCAATATCTCATTCTTTTCGGCTATGATTAACTGTAACAGTAACGATGTAACTGAGTTTCTACAAAAGCTTCCAGCACAATATATAGTTAGTTTTAAAACCAATTTCAAACAATTTGGAATTACTTATTCCCTGCACTTGATACAAATCCTATCCAAAGTTTCTCTATACATAAAAAGAAACAAAGTGATAAAGATAAATCCCAATTATAATATAATGCATTCCTTCAAAGTTGAAACTAAACCAAATTTCTCAAAACTCCACTCACATGTCTATCACCAACAGGGATTTTGACAGAGTATGGCGGAGGGTAGCCCTGAGGACCGTTCGTTGAAACTCCGGGCTCGGCCAAAGCTCTGATGCCAAACCCCTTGCCACTCTTTCTGGGCAGAAGCAGGGACAAATTGCAAAACTTGGACTTGCTGGTGAAGCAGGGGGAACGAGGGCAGTTTGGGAAGAGAAAACATTTGGGCCTTTGTGGGTGCAGGAATTGGCAGGGCTTAGGGCAGTGCAATCTGCCATTGTTAGGGTTTGCCAACATGTCTCTCTTCTATCACTGTGGCCGCTTCACTCGCTGGTGAGAGAGAGAGAGAGAGAGAGAGAGAGAGAGAGGGCAGACTTTATCCGCTTGTATGGTTTTAAGGCGCGCAAGGTTGAAAGAAAGAAAATGAAAGAAAAATATTTTTAAATTAAATGAAATTAACAATTTTTCAAATGTGCCATTTTTAATGCGCAATTGTAAAAATTAGGGGTGGGCATGGTCCGATTCGATCTGATTCTTACTTCAAATTGGAACCGGAACTTGCACTATTTTTCTGGTCTGATTTGGTTTGATTTTGATGAAAAATTAATCAGTCCGGTGTGGTCCAGTTTGCCCATAAGTCAATTGGTTTTTAATTTTAGACTAGAATTTCTTTTTTTAAACCCAATTAAAATTTTATTTTTGGGGCTCAAAAATTCAAAACTGGCCCAATTTCATGCAAAGGAAGGTGATTTGGAGTTGGCTTGGGGAAATATTAGTTATGGGCTTAGAAATTTAGCATTGGGATTACATATTTTATTAAAAATTTAAAAAATACACAGTTAATTTGGTTTGGTCTGATCCAATTTTTTCATTACAAGAACCATAATTAGAATTGGACCAAACCGATCAAGTTCGACTTTTGGTCAACTCAGTTTTTTTATATTTTTTTGGCCCAATTCGGCTCGGTTTTATGGTTTGAATGCCCACCACTACATAGTATAATGCAATTTTAAGTCATACGCCCAATGAACTAGGGGTAGGTGTAAGACCCTTACAAGTTGACATAGGCCATGGCATGGTTTTGATATTTTACACCATGTCAAGGCAAGCCAAATGTGCATAGGAGGTGCACTCGTGAAGCAAGACAAGGTCAAAAGACATGTGTTTTGGGCTGGGACTTGGCAGAGAAGACATGGCAGCAGCACAGTAGACTAGCAGCATGGCATGAGAGCTGTCGACAGAATTTGCCGATAGATGTCGAGAGATGTCAACAGGAGCTGCGCAGGATGCGTGAAGGATGTCGACAGGAGCTGCACGTAGGATGTGCGAAGGATGCCGATAGCACTGGGTGCAAGGCTGCAGCGCACAACGCAGCACTAGCAGGCAGCGCACACAGCGTGTGCACATTGCGCAACACACGTAGGCAGATCGGGGCTGGACATGGCTTAACGTGGCAGTTTGGCTAAAAATGTGCTGGAGTGGGTCTAGGACGTGACAAAACGGTTTTTGAGCAGTCCATGAGTGGTTGGACGTGGCTAGAGTTGCTGCATGCTTGAAATTCGGATTGTGGCTTATCTTGGAGCATTAGTGTGCAGTTACTTGGTGGTGGCAACATGTTCCAAGGAGTGGGGAGATTTTTAAGGAGGAAAATCTGCCCCATGACAAGAGTGGGCTACAAGGTGGCGGCTTGTGAATGCTAGACAAGTTTTTGAGTAGGGAAAACATGTCTAGGTGGCTGATCTAACGGTTGACAAGGTGTCCCAAATAGATGGGGGTGTCATCTACATAGCGTAGCCCTATAAATACCTTGTGTAGGTGTGTGGTTGAGATACCAAGTGATGTGGTAATCCAACTGAAAGTGAGAACTTGTAATCCTTTTCTATTGTGAATAGAAGGTTGGGAGCTTTCCCCGTATATGTGTGTGCGAAAGTTTCCTGCGTGAGGCAAGTCTCACTTGTGTGCGTTGGTTTCACTCGTTCCACTGTGTGTACTCTAAAACCTCATGAGTTTGGAGGTGAAGAGAAGGCTGACTTAGGAGGAGTCTAAGTGCCGAACAAGGGTTGAAAAATTAAAGGCGGTTTTCACCCCTGTTACAGTAGGGTTGAGATTGGATTGATTTTACCAAAAAAACTGTACTCGAACAAATTACAATATAACAGTTTAGTTCAATTCAGTTTTGACAAAAATCATGGAGGAAACGAAACCAATTTAAGACGATTTGGTTCGGCCAGTTTGGGCCTAAGTCCAATTCTTTATCTTTTGAGGTAATTACAATTTTGATCAGTGGGGTTAGGGTCGAATTTAATTTTGGTCAACGAAATTTCAATTTTCCAATTTTGGTCTGTTCACCTGTTTGATGTTTACTCCTGTGATGGAAAGGTAAAGTTCCCCATTGCCTTGAAAACCATTGACTGGTCAACAAGTCAACTTTCTTTAGTGTGCAAGCATGCCACTGCTAGTAATACAAATTCTAGCAGACTTCTTAAAAATAGATAACTTGCGCCCCAAGTTACTGATTTCTAAATAAGAGATTGTGAATTTGGGTGAGGAATATCTCCCAAGTAAGTTCTTTTCTTGCCTCAAACTAGTGAGCTTCACAATTTTTCATAGTACAAAACTGGTAGTTCTGGCAAGAATAAATGATAAGATAGTAAACTGTTTTAGGCAGAAGTGCCTTTTACAAAACTCAAAAGGGAAAAAACCAACTCTAGAAAGACAAAAAGGAGGCTAGACTTCCATTTCTGTATGGATAGAAGCTTCTGACCCGGGCTAGATTGGGTATACCTGTGCTGGACTGGACTATCAGCAACTTCAACTATTGAGTTTCAACTGTAAATCAATACCAATGTTCGAGTTTGGCAGAACTTTAATCTATTTCAAGCCCTGGAAGGCTTCTTGAACGGGCAGAATTGCGGCCTCTTCGGTATGAAAGGAGCAGAAGTGGCTGGACTTGAGGATTACTGAGCTGGAACTGCACTGTAGTACCTGTTCTGCTTAATCAAGGCTCTCCATAAATTTGTTGAGGTTTTCATATTTGTAAAAACCCAGACTCTGCTTGTTTTGACTTTTTGCTGAACCAAATTTGTAACGAAAGGAATCTCGTTTTAATGAATTATTTCTAAGTCTGAAACTAGAAGTTTAGATTTGTAGATGGCTTCTTTCTTGTGGCTCAATGAGCTTTTGGATGCTTCAGTTTGTTTAAAGGTCCTTTGAGATCAAGCGATCATTATGAGTTTTTTTTGTCTTTGATTGATTTTTTATTGTCTGATTTTTTTTTATTGTCCTCTTGCTCTGTTCACCCTCTTTCATATATATAGGAAATGCTAAAGTAGGATTTCTAATCCTTTAAAAATGGGCGGCAAATTTTCTGTAAAACAAGATCTTTCTATTTTATAAGCAAAGAAAATGGGGTTTTATCAATTTTGGCAGATAAGGCCTCAATAGTCAGTTCTAAGGCAATCTCTTCCCTGTATTTCTTGAAAGGAAACCTAACCCTTCTTAAATTTTAACTGCTCTTTGTAAGAGCTCCAACTATGATGGTTAGTTTGATTTTCCAAATGAACAACTCTCTGCTTCCTACTTATCTCCAAAAACGTAGTATGCTTATTTCTTGAAAATAGTGCCTTCTTTGGTCTCTTCTCTGTCTGTGAAAGATTGGAGAAATCTTCTTGCAAGACTGCCTCCATTAATTCTCTGTAAAAATTCTCTTGTGACTAGTTGAAATAATTGACTTTTCAAAGTCAGGTAGCCACGTGGAATTTGAGAATAGACTTTCCAAAAAATCTGCTGATCTTTTACTCTGGGCTTTGAGATCAATGGTGAGTATTTAGAGGTTGGGCTCATTCCCCCTTTTTTCATCTGCTCTAGTTGGTCAATTGCCACTTAAGTTTGGCATTTTTACAACTCTGCCACTTTGTAAAAGATGTGGGCTTCTGATGTGTTTTTTTTTGTTGCTCTCTCTTTTTGAATCAAAGCCCAGTCCTTTGTTTTATGTTTTGTGGGCCTTTCTTTGCCTAGATGGGCTTGCGCTTGCGAATCTCTTTTTGGTCCAAACAATGCCCCCTTAAGTTTGAATCGTTTTAAAACAGTTCCAGACTTAATGATTGGCCAATCAATTATGCGCGCCATTTCCTGCCGTTGCATTAGCGCACATCTGCTCATTCAATTAGGCTTCATGGGCAAATGGGTTCTAATGGCTAATTAAATCTGAACAAAACTCCTTTCTTCCTACTCTCCCACGATCTTCCTGCTTAGTTTATAAAAATTTGCCGAACTTCATTACTATTCATCAAAAACCTATCTTTGTCTCAGCTTCCATTTCTTTCGAAACCTCCTGTTCTTTTGGTTCCGTTCCTTTCAATCCTCCTCTGTTCGTCTGATTTTGAGAGAGAGAAAGAAAAAAAAATGTCTTCTCCAACTACTTGTGCCAAGAGTTCCTCTTCTTCACGCTCTCTTGCCTATCTCACTGGAGATGGTGTCGACAATCATGTGATAGAGGTTCGAAGCAAGCTCTATCCCTTTGCACAAACGAATTTGTATGAGAACGTACTTCATCTTTTCGAGAAAACCCTTGTTATGGGCCCTCATTGGTTTGGTCCTATACCGAAAGAGATGGCCATATTGTTTAGGAATGATGCTGAGGCCCTTTTGTGCTATCAAAGCTCCACTTCTCTAGCCTCTTATACCTGGGTCAGGAAAAACCTGAGTCGTTCGTTTCCTTCGAGCGAAGTGAGGAACAGTGCGGTGAAATGGTCAGACTCGATTGACAGGCTTCTTCCTAGGCATGGAGCTCACTGGAAGAGGGCTGGTATTTACGATAGAATTCTTCTGTCCAGGCACTCTATTAATAGAGACGAGAACCTTTTGGCTGCTGCTCTATGTTTCTGGAACTCTGCCAGCAACACCTTTGACTTCCGCCTGGGCCCGATGACTCCAACTCTGCTGGACATGGCTCAGATCTTTGGGTTTAGGCCTCATGGAAGGCCTGTTGATGTTGTTGGTGACTATCATAGAAGGAAAAATCAGGAGAAATTGGCCAAGCCCTTCACCATCTCTCTTGCCACCATCAACCAAAATTGCTCGTTTTCCAACTATTTGAAAAATTCAGCACTGAGAAAGATAAAGATCAGCAGCACATGTTGTTCCTCCTCTATTGGCTGAACAGATTCCTCTTCTCCAACCGTTCCTTTGCAGTTCTGCTTGAGTACAAACATCTGGCAGAGGCTCTGCATAACCACATGAATGTGGGGCTTAGGCCTACGATTCTTGCTCATATATACAAGAACCTGCACACTGCCACCTTGGAGAATCCGCTAAATTTGTCTGCTTCTGGCGCATTTTGGATGATTCAGGTCTGGTTGCAAGTGTACTTCCCAGAACTGAGGTTTACAGACATTGTTCTCCCTAAAGACCAGGTCATTGCTCATTCGTTGATGTCAGCAGAGGTGCCCAAGCGTTCCATTGAGAAATACTTGATGTTCTTTAGGCACTATACCAAGAGATTTGTTGTACAGTGGCAAGCAGTGCTCAGGAGGACCTACCCCTGGTTTCAGCCTGGATATAAACTCTTTGAGAAAGAGCCAAAAGAAGAAGAAGACAGAATTGAATTCAGGAAGAAATTCCAAAGTGTGATGCTGCCTCGGGACATGCCATTCGGTGGAGGCAAACCTCCCAACTATCATTTGGGGGCAGAAGTGTATCATCCGAATTTCTGTGCCCGTCAACTCGGCTGCCCTCAGCTAATTCCTCTCAAGTCATACAGGGGCTGCAACCGTTCTACCTCTTGGAGGGATTCAAACGATTTGGACGTACATAAAGACTGCAGATGTTTGATAAATAAAATTAACAACAGTGTGGATGCTCTTTACCCCTCATGGGAGCCTAATTCCTGCAATTATGCTAATTTTGATGCCTGGTGGAAGGCTAGGTTCCAAGGTTTTTCTGCCTCGAGTACTGCCCTCAAGGTGCTTTTCGATGGCTGGGACTCCTGGACAGTCTATGCAAGGGCAGAGGCCAAGAGTTTTATGGTGCAGATGATTAAGGATATTAATGCACAAGTTATCGAAGGTATATTCTCCATTCAGCCTCTTTTCCTTTGTTCTGGTCGCATCAGTTCAATTTTGCCTATTTTTGTGACGTCTAACAATCTGTTTTACCTGTACCAGATTCTTCTGTGACTTAAGACATTGGAAGCCAGACTGTGCACTCTGGAGAAGTGATTGGTAAGTTTCCTGAATTCTGTCCCTCTGAATTTCCTTGCTGGACTGCCTTCTAATTTCTCCTTTTTTGTGCAGTTAATTCTGTCATAGCTGCTGGGGACTTAGAGCTTCCCTTTGGAGATGAGGAAGATCAACACGAGCCTCTGGTAGAGCAACTAGCTATTGAGGCCACTCATTCTACTAGAAGAAAAAGAAAAGAGGTTGCTCATGTTCAAGACAGTTTTATCCAGCCTAAACCTTCTGGTAAGATTCTGACATTTTGAGCTACTTCTTGAATCTGTCCTATTCTATCCATTCTTCTATCCTTTATTTTTTGTTCTGTGCAGCTGAAAGCCCTCCTCCACCTACTACTAGGTCAAAAAGACCTAAAAAGAGGATTGGAGTTGAGTCTGATGAGATTGAAGAGCCTGTAGCTGTTCCCATCGAAACTTCTGGAACTGATGATAAGCTACGAGAGGCTTTTGAAGCTGTTGAGCAGGAGAAAGGACAAGAAGAAGAAGAAGATGTCCCTCTAAAAGAGAAGGACAAAGAGCCTGAAGAAGAGGTGAGACCCTATTACTTGATGTATGAATTTTTGTGTTGGTTCTTTCTTCTAACATCTGACTTATGTCCATCTGTAGGAGGAGATTCCTACTGAGGTAATAGCAGAAAGCATTGCCTTGGCCAAACAACACGAAGAAGCTCAGAGGGCAGAACCCACAAGTTCAGAATTGGCTTTATTTGATGACGTGGAGGCAGAACATTCTGTTACTGCCCCAAAGCTTGAGGTAAAGGTAGAACACTTTGTTGTGGTTCCTATTCCTGAGGTATCTTCTAGTTTTTTTCTGTCTTGTCTTCTTAGTTCTGTTTATCTTGACATCTTCTGATTTGTTACTTTGTCTTTTCAAGTAGCAGAGAACAAGATTGCTGGGGTCTTAGCCGTGGTGACCAGCCCTTTCAAGCCTCTCATTGTGGATGTGAGTATTTTTGTGCCTTAGTCTTCCTTTCTTATCCTATTCTGACTTTGCCTGAAAACTGACTTGAGTTTGTTTTGCAGATGCCCATCCATTCTCTCCTAGGTTCATTTACCACGACTTCCTTTGCTGATCCAGAATTGGTCGAGTTTGAAGCCATGGACTTCGATGCCCAACTGGACAAACTGGAGAAGCTTAGCTCCACTCCTAGCAAGGCAAAATCCAAGGCAGTGGACAGACTGAAGATCTGGGAATCCACTGAAATGGATTTGGATGAAAACCAAGAAGCTGTTGACCAACTAATGAAAGACCTGGACTTGTTGCATAGAGAGAACATGGCTCCTAGACCCATTCTTGAAATCAGCCTAGGTTTGGCAAGAGACATGCTCAACCTCCACAACCGCTATGAAGATCTCAAGCCCTCTTTTAAAGCCTCCGAGTTCTGCAAGGCCACTCATGAAGCTAATCTGGTTGATTACCAGAAACAGAAAGCAAAATTGGACCAGATGGTTGTAGGTTACAAAGAAGCCAAGATTGCTGCTGACAAGCTGGAGAAGCAGATTGAAGAACTTCAAAAACAGCTGGCTGGGCTGAGGGAGAGGCAGAATAGACTTGGGGCTGGACTGGGTACCAAGACCTATGCCACTTTCTTTGTGCAAAACATGATAGCAGCTTCCAAGCCAGCTTTGGAAATTGCAGAGGCCTCTCTCCATCAAGGGATGCTTCTCCAGCAAGAAATTTCTACCAAGAAGACCGGATTGCAAGAAACCCTTAGGAAACTAGGGTTTTAAATTTTAATTTTAAATGCTTGAATGTAATAAAACTCAGTCATGAGAATGACTGTATTAAATAAAAGTTATTTATTTATTTTGTGGAACTTTTTGCGTTTTCGTTTTCTTTTGTCTAAGAATGAAAAACAGAAAATAGAATATATCTAACGGATTATTTTAGGAAGCGAATTCTTGAACGAAAATTTAAACAACATTTTCATCTAGTTCCTTCTCTATTCCAGGATTTGTTTGCATAGCCTGTGAATCCCACATGGTTGGATGAAACTTCTTCAACCACTTGCCATTAATTGGTGTAGTATGAACATCTCCATCTCGATCCTGTAATCTGTATGGATCCAAGGATTTGCTTAATTATGAAAGGCCCTTCCCCATGTAGATGACCACTTCCCATAACCAGCTATATGTGTTCCAAGGGGCAGAACTGCTTTCCAGACTATCTCTCCCTTTTCAAAACTCTTGTTTTGAACTCTTTTGTTGTAGGCCCTTGATACAGCTTTTTTTTTTGCTAAGAGTTTGTTGAGGATATCGATTATGCTTGCATCCAATCCCTCCAGTTCTAGCAGCATGGCTTGAGAGTAGTCTTCTCCAGTCAGATTGTGTTGGTGAGCAATTATGAGAGATTGGACTGCTATCTCCATAGGCAGAATTGCATCATGACCATAAGTTAGAGCATATGGGGTCATGCCAGTTGCCTCTCTCTTTGAAGTCCTATATGCCCACAGAGTTTCTGATAACTTCTCATGCCATTGCTTTGGATTTTTCTCAAGCATTTGACAAGCTCATAATTATATATATTTTACATCAAATTTACTTGTCTTTTCTTAGTTAGTTCCTTATATTTTTGAGCTATTTACTTTGTTTTTGTGTTTTGTAGGATCTGTCAAGCAAAGAAAAGAAAAATAGCACAAGTGGGATTTTAAGTCACAAATTCGTCAGAACTGCCTGTGCAGATGAGCTGACTTTGGAAGCAAGTTGCGAACAGCTCAGAATGAATTAGAGAACGTGCCATATATGCTTGGAAAGCTACAGATGTCTATTCTCTGGAGCACTTCATGGATTATTCATATCATTTTTCTAGAAGCAGTAACGGCCGTTTTAACACTGAAAGGTTCACAGGAGGCTGAGCAGTTTGTAACTGCAATGAAAGCAATAAACCCAATAAATAGTTATTAGTGGAGGAAGTTTGAGGAGAGAGCGATCTTTGGAGAAAGAAACAGAGAGGCAAGGCAGGAACGTTGGGGATATAGGAGGAAGGAGGAAATCTTGGCATTCTCTTCTTTCGGATTTACCTTCTCAAACTCATGTCTTTCTTTTGGTTTAATTTAAGAATAATGTGTAACTAAATTTTTTGTAGTTAGGGGCTGTCTTGAAGCCCCATATATGATTGCAAATGTGTTATGACATTTCGTTTCAATTTCTTTTATGAAAGGATGAAAATTGCTTCACTACTTGTCTCGTTGATGAATTCTTTATATGTTTTCTACGGATGCATACTTAGTAAGCATATTTAGGATTCTAATGCTATGAATATGTGTATGCATGCCCTTGTTGAATGAGGACCTACATATGTTCTAGAGTAGTACTTGTTAGTCGCGATTAACATGTGAATTAATTTCTAGGTTAAGTAAGACAACGCCAGTACTTACGATGCCTTGTGATGACTCAAACTCTTTTCGTTCTTAATGATTTCTACTTGTTAAATCTATGAACACGCCATTCTAGATTGCATGCTAGGGATAAAGTTAAGTTGAAAACGTCATTCTCTTAACATACTACATAAGAAAGAGTAATAGGTTGAGTTCTAACATTGAGCCAACTTGAGCCTCTTCATCCGGAAATAAAAGGAATATGATTGAAACATAACATGTTTGCATGACTATTTGGCGGTGGATAGCACTTCCCCTAACCCATTTTCTTAATTGTGAAATATAATATGTCCTTATAATTCAAAATCCGTTTCTGTCCTGTTGTTGTCCAATTTAATTTATATAGCAAATCAACTCTAAAAATCCCAAAAATTTGTGTGAGTGTAGCTCTGCGTGTCTAGTATCTGTGCATAAAATTTCGTAGACTTTCGATAAGTGTAAGTAGGGATAATAATTATTTTTTTTCGGTGGCTGGTCAGTAGGGACAGCAGCCCAGTTTTTGTGACATTTCAAGTAGTTAGATAAGACAATCTTCTGCGGGAAAGACCCTTATTTTCATATGCTACAATTGACAAATCTTAGTGTTAATAAGGAAAATCAATAGGATATTTGTGTGCTACTTTGTGGTGTGCTTTCAATCCTATCAGCATTTTCCTGATAATGTTGATGATCACCTTGTTACTTGATTCTACCTGCCCATTAGCTTGAGCATAATAAGGAGTGGATTGAAGTAGTTTGAATTTGAATGCTTCTGCCATATCTAGCATCTCCCCATATATGAAAGAAGATCCCCTGTCTGTTGTGATTGATTCTGGAATGCCAAACCTTTGGATGATCTGTTCTTCTATGAAGATGATGATCTCTTGAGATGTAGTGGATTTAACTAGCTTGGCTTCCACCCATTTGGTGAAATAATATGTAGCCACAATAATGAAACAATGTTGTATGCTACTGGCCGGATAGATTTTGCCAATGAGATCCATTGCCCATCCTCTGAATGGTCATGGCTTGACTACTGGATTCATGGGGACTGAAGGAGCCTGCTAGATTGGACCATGTCTTTGACAAGCCTTGACAAGACCCGCCCCGAATTTCCTCGAAATCCGGGACGGACCCCGCCTAATTACCGACATCAACCTAATGTCGGGCCCACTTAGTAAAGACTGAGACTTTCTACCAAAAATTTGGCAGAGTCTCCCCTGTAAATTGAACATTCCCAAACTTCAACCTGTTCAAAATTTACAGTTAATTACAACCAACTGGCAGCATGCTTTACAAGCAACAAAACATTTTACAACAAAGGCCTCCAGCTCACAAATTAAACCCTCAGCGGGCGATACAGAGCATATCTAAGGAATTCAAAATACAACCGAAGTACCGTTTAACTGAAAGGAAAAACAAAGCACCAAGAGTCTTTACAAAGACTCGAGTTCCAAGATGCACCCGGTCCGGCTCAACTGCAAAGCTCAGTCGCTACTGGCTGGGGGCGCAAAATAGAAAGTTGTGAGTGGACAAAAATCAAGTTTAGTTCAAAAGAAATCAAAGTAGTATAACCCCCACCTTTATCAAAAACATACAATGAAACCATAAGCATAACAGAACCATCAGAAAAAATATATATAAACATACACGAACACATAGATACCGGATCTCAAATCCGTAATCCGTGAATAATGCTTCACGAAACCCACCACTCAACTTAAGAGTCCCAAGAGATTAGACTCTCGTAAACGTACTCAAAAGCACGACCGGCGAGGAAGTATACTTACCGAAAAATAGAACAAAGGAACATTCATATAAATAAATATATATAATAGGGAGTTTCACTAAAACACCCAAAATGGAGGTTGAAATTATAAAAAAACCCAACACCCAAAACACTTTATAAACACACCCAAAACCCATCATTACACACACTCAAAACCCATTTATAAACACACCCAAAAAGTGACTTTGGGGTTGATTTTGGGTGTGTTTCTATGTTTAAATAGTGCTTGGATTTTTTTATAAATACATGTCTAGATGGGTTTATTTATAAATTTGTAAATATAATATACATACATAATAATAATATGAGATAACATAATAATAATAATAATAATAATAATAGTATATAAAGATAACCAATATTTAATTGTACCGGGGAAACAATCCAACCGGGGGACTGTTTGACTAGGCCACATGGCAGAGCCATTCCTCAATTCACCATGTGTCTAGGGAACAAGCCGTCCAACCGGGGGACTAACTCTCAGCCAGCACATACAGCCGACACAGTCAAAGCTTGTACGCCTGAAATACCAGTCCTACGCGCGCAGACTACCCCAAATCCAGGGTCCACAGCAACATCCCCTCAAGGATGCCCTGAGTTCTCATCGTAACCAAATTCAGATCAGGGGAGGTACATAAATTAGTGCTTAACGCACTCCAAATAATAGATCCAACATTACCTTTCCATAGTTCATATTAACCACCAAGTACCCCATGCATAGCCGCATGTAAATATAGCTTCTCAAAATTCAAATATCAATGTAAGTTTTATGAAAACCTCGAATTCCCATTCGAGCATATATAAATAATACTAGACATAATAAAACAATATGCCATATTTCTATGAATAAAATCATACTGAGTTTCAAAAGAAAAGTCCACTCACAAGTAGTCCCACACAGCTTGACCCTTAGAGGGTCCCGCCTGCTGCGTATGCTGGGTCGGAGTACCTGATTCAGAATACGAAAATGCGATGAATATCAAGCACTTCAAAACAGAATTTGAAATAAAACCCTAGCTTCCCGGGAGTTCCTATAGGTTTTACGAGGTCTAGGATACACGTCCTGTAAGTTTGGTCCGAAACGGACGGTTAGACCGCTCACAATTGGACGGTTACTTAAACCCTCACCCTAGGGTTGGCATTTCCGGAGTATCCGGGACTCCGTTTTACGATCCGTCGAATCCTACACGATCTTACGGTTATCCAGAGGAACATACTTAAATTTGAAAACGATCCAACGGTCAGAACATATCGAACCCGAATAACGCACAATATGCGATAATTCGTTCGATAGTCAAACGACCTCGGAATCGAGATCCGCGAAATCCTATGCGCTCGTGACAACTTAAAGATCACATTGGAACAGTTTGCAGCTCCACCACACTTGCCCACGCGCCGCCACAGACGCCAGCAAGCGGGTGTGCAGAGAAATTCCGGCGACGGAAAATCTCCAAATCACAAGTCACCCTCCCGGCTACAGGTCCTACTCAACTAGGGGAGCACTTCATTCAACTACGGCCAAGCCCAAAACCACCGGGAACTGGCCGGAATTTCGAATTGAAAACCGGCCAAAAACCTAATTCGAAAATAACTTCCAAAACCTCAAAATCGTTTCAATCCTAAGCAACAGGCAACTAGAACAGATAAAACGAAGGAGAAACCCCACCAATTTTACCTGAAATGGACGGCAGAGGCGGCGGCGCAACGACCGGAAAAGTCCGGCTCGAACCAGTCGAAACTGCCGGCTGTTTCGAGTTTTCCGACGACGAAAGCTATTGGGTCTTGACCAGGACGTCGAGACGAAGCTTTTGGGACCAGTCTCGAGAGCTGCGGTGGCCGGAAGTGATGGCGGCGTGGATTTTTCCGTTCGGATGAACATTGACGAGAGAGAGAGAGTTCGCGGGAGAGAGAGAGAACGCACGGGAGAGAGAGAGAGAGAGAGAGAGGAAAGTGAACTGAAATTGAAACTCTGATTTTTTTACAAATACCTTTTCGAATTATTTACGATTTTGCCACCGAAAGAAATTTCATCGCCAACACTTCGTTATAACTCCGATTCAAGCCTACCGCCTGTCTACGAATTCATCTCAGAACCACTTACACAACTAAACCACTTGTGGTCCCAAAATCCTTCCGGACAAGAAAATGACCAAAATACCCTACCCCAAGGGTAGTTTCGTAATTTGATAGTTAATTTAATTTTCACCTTTTAAATAGAGTCGGGGTGTTACAAGCCTCACATCCCTTGGAATACTCAATGCAATCCTTCATCATGGTTGGCCAGAAGTAGCCATACTTTCTAATTAACCAACACATTTTTCTTCCTCCTTGATGAGCTCCATAGATTCCTTCATGGGTTTCTCCCATGACTTTCATGCACTCTTTCTTCCCTAGGCACCTCAAGAGTACCTCATCTTTGCTTTTTCAGACCAAATCTCCATTCCACATAAGGTAGTTCAAAGCCATGATTCTAACTCTTTTTTCAGAAGGCAAGGTCGGATACTGCAAGTAATTTATGATGGGAGTTCTCCAATCATCTTCAATGATTATGGCAGAATTGACATCTATCTCCATTCCTCTGGTCATAATAGATGGTAGACTTTTCTTTCCTGCCTTGATAATCCTTTGCACATAGTCTTCAGGCATTTGTATCCTTATTGCTATCTGAGCCATTTCATTGGCTGCAAAGTTCTCCTCCCCTGGGATATGTTCCCAAGTAGCTTCCCTAAATTCTGTCAAAAGATTTTTGGCTGCCACTAGATAGACAGCCAAAGAAGGATTTAAGCACTTGTATTCTCCAGCAATCTGTTTTAACACAAGCATAAAATCTCCTAAGATTTCCACAGACTGGATTCCTAATTCCACCAACATTTTGAGGCCAATGATTAAAACTTCATATTTAGCCTTATTGTTGGTGCACTGGAAATCTAACTGGAAGGAATAATAGTGTATGATCCCTAGTGGCTCTTCTAAAACAATCCTTGCCCTATAAGCTACATCAGTTTTTGATCCGTCAAAGTACAGTTTCCAAGGTGTGAGGTGGACTAGATAGATGGGATTGTTTAGATAAGTATGAGCTTCAATCAACATATTTGCATTTGCTATATCCAAAGAATCCATGTTTTCAATCAATTCCCCTGGATGATCTGCTAGGAAATCTGCTACAGCTTGTCCTTTGATAGCTTTCTGAGGAACATATCTGAAAGCAAATTCTGTCAAGGCTAGAGTCCATTTGCCAATACTGCCTCTCAGCATTGGCCTTGTTAGCATATATTTGATTAAGTCTGTCTTGGCAATGATGTAGATGGTGAATGGTAGCATGTAGTGTCTAAGTTTCACAGCAGTGAAGTATAAGGCTAGACAAAGCCTTTCAATTGCATAATATTTCCTTTCTACTTCTGTTAGAGTTCTGCTCAAATACTAGACTGCCTATTCCTTCCCTTTCTTGTTATCTTGAACTAACAGACTCCCAATGGACACTTCTGATGCAGAAACATAGAGTTTGAGTGGTCTGCCTCTCTTCGGTGGGGACATAACTGGCGGATTTGATAGGTAATGTTTGATTTCCTCAAAAGCTTGTTGATGCTGTTCCTCCCACTTAAACGTATGTTCCTGTTTTAATCTTAATAGGGAGGAGAAGGGCTGGATTTTTCCTGCATAATTGGATATGAATCTTCTAAGAAAATTAATTTTTCCTAGGAGACTCTGCAGTTCTTTTTGGTTCCGGGGTCGTAAAGCTTCTATGATGGATTTTGCTTTATTTTTGTCAATCTTTATGCCCCTTTGGTGGACCAAAAAACCTAAGAAATTTCCTGCTTGAACTCCAAAAACACATTTCTTGGGGTTCATTTTTAACCTACGTTGTCTCATTCTTAGGAATGCCCTCTTTAGATTTGACACATGATCTCCTTCTTCTGGGAATTTAATCACCACATCATCTATATACACTTCTAGAGAATGCCCTATCATATCATGGAAAACAAAATTCATAGCTATCTGATAAGTGGCTCCTGCATTTCTTAAACCAAAAGGCATTACAGTGTATTCAAAAACACCTATATGTCCTGGGCACATGAAGGCTGTCTTATGGATGTCTTCTTCTGCCACCATAATCTGATTATATCTTGCATTGTCATCCATAAAAGATAACATTTGGTTATGAGCAACTCTATCTACTAACATATCTGCCATTGACTTAGGATATTCATCCTTGGGAGATGCTTCATTCAGATTCCTGTAATCCACACAGATCCTAACTGCCCAAGTTTTCCTTTTCAGAACCAGCACAATATTGGCTAGCCAATCAGCAAAAATGGCTAGTTTGATGAATCCTGCCTTGAGCAATCTTTTTATCTCTTCCTTGACTTTTAGTTCTGTTTCCATAGAATTCTTCTTCTAGCCTGTTTGACTGGAAGGTAGCCTTCTTTGATTGACAGATTGTGTTCCACCAGTTTTCTGTCTAATCTGTGCATCTCATGATAATGCCAAGCAAAACAGTCTCTAAAATCATGCAAAAGTGCAATGATTTCACTCTTGAGTGGTTATTTCAACAATGCACTAATGAAAGTGGGTCTTGGATCCTCTTATGTCCTTAAGTTTATCTCATGCAATGGATCTTCCACTTCTGGTAAAGAGTTATCTAGTGCTGCTGGTGCAAAATCTAAAACTTCATCCTGTAAACTCTCTTCTTCTTGTTTTTTCCGTGCTCTCATGGGTGAATTCTGCCATGTTGATGGCTAGATTCTATATAAAGAGCTTCCTTTCTTCCCAATATGTCAACAACCTTTTTGTAATGGATCAGATTGTTGCAGCTCGATCATTTTCTTGTTGATTGGGACTAAACATCAGAGTTATGGAGGTTTAGAACAAAAGTTCTGTTCCAGTCCTCTAGAGAACTGGCCAGACCATCTTCGATGAGTCTCTAGGACGTGGTACCATAGGGGCGGCCGCTCTGGTTGACTCCAAGGAATGTGAAAGGACCGAGGTCATCATGATAGTACCTTGCTTCAAAACACATGGTAGAGGGCAGAAATGGTCGTGGATCGACCTCTACTATCTCCATGAAACCTTTTTCATTCCAAGGGCTAGTTGCTGATGCAGAGTTGAAGGAACACATAAGCTTTGGTGAATCCAGTCCTTGCCAAGCAATGCATTGTAAGTGGTAGAAGTGGTGTCTACCATAAAGAATGCAATCTTCAACTCTTTGGTTCCAACTATGACATCCACATCCAGGATTCCATGAGTCTTGTTGATGCCCCCAGCAAAGTTGGTGACGGTCAAGCGTGTTGGAATTAGATCCTTCTCTGTTCTGCCCATCTTGCTCAACAATCTGTGGGGTAGAAGATTAATGGATGCCCATCCATCTACCATCACTTTGGGAATAGGAATACCCCCAAAGTTTGCTGTTATGAACAGAGGTCTGAAGTGATTAGCCATTTCCTTGGTTGGTTTGGAAAAGCAAAGCTGTTCTACAGCCAGTTTCATGGCAGTTCCGCTTGTCTTGGCAGTAGGTGTTCGCTGTTCTGGCGCCTCCTCTACCTCTGCCAATCTGCATTCAAAATTTTCCTGGGAGAACACGTCTCCCTCCAGAGTGTTTTCTTGTCCTTCTGCTGCCTTGAATTTTTCTGGAAAGATGAATACCATGTTGATGCCTAGATCTCCTTGTAACATGCTTTCTAATTCTACACCAAAAGCCTCAGTTTCTTCATCTTGTTCTCCATCATACTCCATCTGTTCTTCCCCATATTCTACTGTCCAGTCTTGTTGTTCTCTTGTCTCGGGGAGCCCAGTCTGATCATCTGCAGATGGTTCATAGTCCAACTGCTCCTCTTCGTATTCTTCAGTCTAGTTTTCTTGCCCTTCCACTGGAATAGGTTCGTATTCTTCAGTCTAGTGATAGCTCAAGCTGATTGACTGAGGATGAGGCAAAATGGATGGAAGGTCAGCCTGGAGATTCTATCTTTATCAGCTTTTGTGGCTGACAGGTTGTTTGTTCTTCCTAGGGAGCTATTTCCGGACTTTTCCCTCTTATGGCAGAACTGGTCCTTAGAAGTACCTGTGTGTCATCCTTGTTCTTGAGGAAGGTGCAATATTCGCTTGGAACTCTCCTCTTCTGAGTTCTGGTTAATTCCAGAGTTGGTCTACCGTTTTTTTCAACAGAATACCATTTGCCTTCTATGATAGTTGCCAAAGGTTTGTCATTTCCAGGCATCCTGATCGGTATTTACTTCTTTAGCTGCGCTGTCATTCTTTTGTTGCACTGAGCAGGCCTTAAATAGTCATTCTGTCTGGCTTTGTTTTTAGATAGAGCCGGAATCGGGCCTTGTTGGTATGATGTTCCAATTTTGTAAAAAACGCTATGTGTGGGCCGCTTCTTTCTGTCATAGTCAATTCTAACTCACTTTCACACTTGCATTTGCTGCACAGCACTACCCCAGCTAAGATAGTTGCCTTTGGCCTTTGATTAGCTTCCCTTGTGACTCTTCTGCCTCTGCTGGAGCTAGCTTCTGTCGTTAGTTTGCCTCTCTTCTCTTCTGGCCAATTTAAGTTGACCATGTTGACTTGAGGCTGGGGAAAGGGATCTGTTGTAACTGATGGAGGTTTCTCCGCCAGTTTTAGCATTCCTGCTATTATTCTTTCATGTATGACATCCCTGAAAACAACACAGCTGTTGGTGGAATGGTTCCAAGAGTTGTGCCACCTGCAATAATGCCTGCCCTTGAGTTCCTCTGGCTTGGGCAACCTATGGGGTGTCTCTATTGCCTTTTGTAGCAGTATCTCATCAAACAAAGCATCAACCTTGGTTAGATCGAAAGAATAGGCCTTATTCTAGGTTGGTTTGTTTGGAACAAACCTTCTCGTGAATGGTGGTGGCTTCTGGTCCTTTGGTGGCTTTGTAAGAGCCTTGAAGTTGATGGGATGTTTCAATTTTGCCATTTCTGCCACTGCAATCTCTCTTTCCTCCGAGCCTTCCGTGTCTTCTTCCGATCTACCTCAACCAAATGGACTGAAGAAGAGGGGGACTTGTAGTATGTGCCTTTGGAAGATTTTCTCTTCTATTGTTCTTCCCTGAGCAGCTCCTCATATTTAGATGCTTTGTCTGCCAGTTTTGCCAAATCTCTAAACAACATCCCATCAAATCTTTTTCTCATAGAGATTTTAAGGGCGGTTTGAGCCATCTGGATTAAGTGCCTTTCTTTCATAGGGATTCGACATTTCATCTTGAGCTTTCTGAATCTAGTTATGAAGTCCTGAGTAGGCTCATCATTCTGTTTGAGGGCAGCAAGATCACTGATGGTAACTTCTGCCTGGATCTTGAAATAGTAGTAATGGAAAACATTTTCCATTTGCTCCTAGGTTTGAACAGAATTGGCTGGTAGATTGGTGCACTAGGTGAAGGCTTGTCCAAAGAGAGAATTCCCAAAAAGCCTTAGCTAGATATGGCTATGCACTGGACAGAGAACCTGCCTATATGCTCAACTGATGAAGCATGGGAATCTTCTCCGTTGAACATGGTGAAGTTTGGTACCTTGAAACCCGGGGATAGAGGTATCTGATCAATGTAAGCTGGATATGGCTTTCTGTAGGTGGGCCTTTCTCCTCTTCTGGCTTCAGGCTCCATCATCTCTCTAATCATTCTCTGCAGTTCCCACATGTCATTCAAAGCGTTGACAGGGTGCGGATTTCACCCATGTTCTAGCTGGATGTGGTCAATCCTGCGCTCCATTTTGTATGGGCTAGGCAGAACTTCCTCCCTTTGTTCTTCCTCTTCTTCAAAATCTGGATGATTCCTCCAGTTTGCCCCCAGTCTATTCCTGTCATTGTTGGCAAAGAGGTTGATTCCCCCTCTGCCTCTTCTGCCTCTTGCTGGTGGAGGAAATGGATTGGGATCCATTCTCCTAGGTTTGTAAGGCAACACAGCTGGTGCCTTAGGCAGAAGTGGTAAGGGTTGATCATGTGGGGCCACAGGTTGTGGAACAAGTGGAGGTTCTGGTTGATTCTGGGGAACTTGAACTGGTGCAGGGCCTTCTGGCCGAACTGGACCCTCCTGCTTATTTCTTGAAAATGGTGCCTTTTTGGAGCAGAAATTTCTCTAAATATATAAAGGGGATTTTGATCTCTTCTCTGTCTGTGAAAGACTGGAGAAATCTTCTTACAAGACTGCCTCCATTAATTCTCTGTAAAAATTCTCTTGTGACTAGTTGAAATAATTGACTTTTCAAAGTCAGGTAGTCACGTGGGTTTTGAGAATAGACTTTCCAAAAAATCTGCTGATCTTTCACTATGGGCTTTGAGATCAATGGTGAGCATTTAGAGGTTGGGCCCAATCCATCTTTTTTTATTTGCTCTGGTTGGTCAATTGCCACTTAAGTTTGGCGTTTTTACAACTCTACCACTTTGTAAAAGATGTGGCCTTCTGATGTGTGTTTTCTTTTTTTGTTCTCTCTCTTTTTGAATCAAAGCCCAGTCCTTTGTTTTTTGTTTTGTAGGCCTTTCTTTGCCTAGATGGGCTTACGCTTGAGAATCTCTTTTTGGCCCAAACATGGTCATCACACTTTGTTTCGTGTGGAAATCAAGTCCAATTGGCCCATTTCGTCAGTTAAGACACACGTGTTGTGTGCATGTAGAGGCAAAATTATCTTTTCTCCTCCCACTAGCTCCCTCTATCTCCTTATCTCTACAAATGAAAGGAGCTCCATGAAAAGAGCTCTATTGTCACTCCAATTGAAGCTTCAGGCCAACCCTTCAATTCATTTTTCGACTTTCCTTCTTCTACCTACACAAACCAACCCATCAATTTTCTAAGCATGAGCATGGATGCTGCAAAAATAATTATATGCAATCCCCTCTCTTCAATAGCCACCCACACCACAACACCCACTAACCTCCCAACCATCACTCATCATTGCCCCATATGCCTCATCCTTCTCTCTCCTCTATCTCTTCCCCCTCTCTTCAATAGACACTCAAAATATTTCGCAAATCCAAACTTCTATGTTGTTGTCAAAGGTAACATAATAAGACCGGTGAAAGCATAAGAAGAATATAAAACTTTTGATGTAAGCTATACCAAAGGTGTATGGGTTTTCAGGCCGCTCATGATTTGAATTCTTGAAAACAATAGTGTGCTCATCCAGGCAATCCAAAACAATAAGATCGTACATTGCTTGCTCTCTCCAATTAAGTAGCCTCAAACGAATAGTGACTATAATTTCCTCCTCATGAACTTTTGAACCACCCGAAGTAGAATAAAGGTTCTTTCGGATTTTAGACAATGGTGTTATCAGTCTCCCATGCCTCATCTTCACTTACTAGCCTCCACTCTACAGTACCAAACACTTTATATCTTAGTAGATAGCTCTAAGCACAAGACGTCCCCATCAAAGTAATTCATTTATTGTGCAACGTAAGTTATCAGTGTGCAGAACACTCTGATTTCAATAACAATAAAAATTTCATGGATCTTATCTGGTTCTTGATAGAAACTAAATTAATTCTTGGATTGCAAAGCTTAGTAAAAACAAATTGGGGACCACACACTAAACCAAGTTCACAAAAAATCCTAGTTGGCTGTTATAATACTTAATGAGTCATGTGTGCACATTCCTGTAGCCATGTACTTCACATAAGAGCAGCCACACCTGAGAGCATATATCAATAGACGATGGGAAACAAATTAGCTTGGGAACTCGTAAAAAGGAACAAAAGTCAAGCTTACTATGAAGAGACCAAGAAGAATAGTCCACCAAAAGCATTTATTAGGTAGTTGGTGTAGTTGGCATTTAATGAGGCAGTTGGGTATGTAACACTCAGACCCAACAAATTATTTTATTTACTTATTTAATTGTGGAATTACGTTTTTTTCCCTTGGGAGTAGGGGTACTTTAGGCACTTTTTGTTCATAAAGGAATTTGGTGAATTGAGTAACACCGTTGTGTAGAACTAGTGAATATGAGTTCATAGATAGGCGGCAGGCTCAATTTCGATTTAAAACAAAGAAGTGGTATAACCGTAATTTTTGCAAAGTCCAAACTTCATAAAGATTTGGTCAGCTATTTTTCTCTCACTTTTCTCTTTCTCTCTACGACGCCAGCCGGTTGAATGACGATTTCGTCACAATCTGACAAAAGTTTTAGGCAAGATCAGTCCCAAAATATCCATCTCTTCGTCCTCTACTTAACCCACCCCTTTTCCCAATTCGAAAACCTAAGGATTTTGGACTGGAACGACATGAAGTTTTGCTATGAAACTTCCACCGTCACTGTCAACATTTCTGGCCACCTTAGGCTGCACCACCACCTAGTTTAGGTTCCTCTCCTCTCCCTCTTCCTTTCCACTAGGTTGCGCAACACCATGATTTGCCATAGAGGCCGGCCTAAGCTCGAAAAGCTCCGCCCAAATCCTCATGGGTTTGGCCACGATTCACTTAGTTCTTGCCAATTTTTGGCTGGGGTTCGAGAACAAAATGTGCTCCCCTTGCTCGTCTGATTGTGTTGGTATAGGGCTTAACTAGTGATTTGGAGATTTCTGTAGCCGGAAATCTTTCAAGACACCCACCGTTGTGGCTACCCATTGTCCTCCCATGTTCCCTACAGTTGTTTTCAAAGAGAAAGCTTTCCTCTCTTTATTCTTTGTGGATCATGGCCCAATAACCCACTTGGTTGATTATGAAATTATTATATCATTCACTTTTGCATTTGTACTTGCGTGTGTTTTATTCATTGTGGCTCATAGTTCTATATTGGTTTTTCTTGAAAGTTGTTTTAAAAAAGAAATTGTTTTTAAAGTCATTTGCACATGCTCTTCAACTGTTCTCTTCAACCTATTATTTATCTTGAACCCAACAATATTATTTTATAATATGTTGCTCCATACTCTTAATGGCTAGATATGCAGATTGCATATACCTTCTTATTTTATTCTCTTGATCAAAGCATTTGATCTTTCCTCTTTGAAACTTGTTTTCATCAAAGTCTATTTAAACAAAACTTGTCTCTGATCAAACGTGACTATGCAGGAAAATAGGTGTTGCACTTTCCTTTGAAATATGAATCAGACCATTCATTCATGAAGGAAAAACAAAAACTGCACACACTTAAAATCTAATGCAGTCATGTTTATAGTTTTTGAAAAACAATTTTAATTTGCTATTGAGCATTCGAAAACAATTTTTATTATTTCAACCATTGTTGAATGCTAGAGAGTATGAATATAATTGCATACACATAATTGTCCTCCAAGTACATTCACATAGATTTCGGCTGAAAGTTTCATGTGTCTTTTATGTTATTTTGATTTAAACTATATGCTTCATGATTCATTGCTTCTAGTTTAATCTTCACAACACTTAGATTTCATTTTTCTAGCTCAATCATACTTTGTGATTGAGATAGATGAATCAGTGAAATCATAACTTAGTTCATACATCAAACTACATGCAACTTGAGCTTGGTGCTCTTGAGAGGATTTGTTGCTAAGAGATAAAGAAAAGGTGCTTGCTGAAGGGTTGGATTGTAATTGCCTATAGGTGATAGATTGAGCTAAGTCTTTTTTCTTTTTCTTGTATTTCTTAGTTGAGTAGATTGGATCTCTCCTGGCTTGGTGCCCTCAATTTTTCACCCTGTTGGGTTTTTTGGGTCAACAATTCTCTTACGTTATTTACATTCTACTGTTACATGTTTTAATTTATTAACCACGAAATTGCTTGTGTGCCTTTAAATAACTTATTTTTTTTTAAAGGTAGGTTATTGTCCCATAGCCTACTTCACCCCCTCTCTGTAGGCTTTTAGAGCTTAGGGTATGGTTTTATACATTCAACAAATGAGAAAGAACACATGCAAACAAATGACAAATAAATGTGCAACATGCACCACTAAGCTTAAAAAGTTAATTGAGAAGGAATGTTTTGGTGGATGTATGAGTGTTTTTATTGAAAACTAAATAACACCACAAGTTGTTCTTCTCAGGTGTTCCTCTTCTTACCAAATGCCTCTACTTAAAAAGGAAAAACTAAATGTTCTATAACACTAACACATACAAAGGAAAAATGAAAACACATGCGCCACTAAACTAAAACAAATAATTGACAAGGAATCTTTGGTAGAGAAATAAATATGTGAAGTTTGTTTTGGGACTTATGTGTCTTTATTATTTGACATGTTGTTCCCAATTTGTGTTGTACAAAAATTATTGACTGGCTTAAAAAAAATATATTGCTCTCCTTGTAGGTGTTTTGATCATTTGCCAATTTTTTAAAATGTTGCAATGGAAATCTACTATGAAAAAAAGACAACTAAGCACGCAACTTGGTCATTTGTGTTTCTTTTTTTAATACAAGCGACAATCTAAACTATTAGTCTACTTTTGTGGGGGTGGGGGGGAGGGGATTTGAACTTTGGTGCAAAGCAGGGCTCATTGGCATGCCCAATTGACCTTTGCCTTTCCTGTGTTTTTTTTTTTTTTTTTTTTTTTTTTTTTTTTTCGAAAAGTACATCCATTAGATAATTAAGGGTGCATTTGGGGGTAATTCTGGAAGGGCCATAATTATTTTTGGAGAGAAGGATCTCCCACACTCTGCTTCTCCCCATAATCACTTTAAGTAATTATATGGAGAAGTGATTCTCCATAGAAGATTTTTGGTCTTTTGGGTGATTTGGGGGTAGAGATTAAAGGGGACAAGGATGAGCATAGTTATGGGATCGAATTCGGTGTGGACGTCGTTGTGGACTTCAACTTCATCAGAATTTAGGGAGATCAACTTTCATTTTATTTAGGCTAAAATGTGGCAATAGTCCCTCAACTAAGACCCGACTTTACTTTTTGTCCCTCAACTCTAAAAATTGTTAAGGTTATCCTTCAATTAGATATTTTGTTGCATCATTGGTCTTTTCGTCAATTCAGTTAAATTTTCTATCAAAATTAAGGGCAAATTGGGAAATTCATATAAAATATTTATTAGATAAATAGACTCATTTATAAATTTAAAAAAATATATAAAAAAAATCATTCTCTCTGCTCTCCTGTCAACGATCATGTCTGTGATCCTCTCCTCGTACAATGAGCAATCCTATCAATCCCAAATACTCCTCCTAGTAATTAGTTTCCTATAATACATGGCTGTAATGTTGGCAAATCCCTTTAGACCTATTGTACCCATATAAATATGTACTATATACAATTGAGTAATACAAGAGGAAATATATTGTCTACATGGTATCAACCTAAACCTAGGACTTTATTCCTACCGATCTTGTCCTTCTTCGCTCTCTCTCCTTGTCTTATCCCTATGGCGTCTTATTCATCTTCCTCCTCCTCCCTATTGTCTCTTCCTAGCCCCAACTCCTCTCACTTCATCAAACTCTCCGACTCCAACTATCTTATTTGGTTTCGTCAAATAAAACCGTTCCTTGTTGGCCATGGTCTCCGGAAATTTATCGATGGCCCTAATCCTTAACCTCCTGCCACTATCTCCCTTTCCACCACTGATCAAGAAACCACCACCACCGCCCCTACTCTCAAATCTAACCACGAATATGACCTGTGGTATCAACAAAACCAACTTATTGTCAGCTACATGACCAGCACACTTACTGAATCTATCCTTCATCTCAACGTTGATTGTGACTATGTCCGTGATATTTGGAATTGTCTCCAACACGATTTTTCTCAGTCTTCTACTGCTAGTGAGACCACTCTTCGTTTTCAACTCATAGATATGTAAAAAGGCTCTTAGTCCATTGATGAATACTTTCGCCATGCCAAATCTCTTGCCGATGCCTTGGCCACCATCAACGAACCCATCTCCAACAAAGACCATGTCACTGTTGTCCTTCATGGCCTAGGTCCTGACTACAAGATGCTTGTCACCGGTCTCCTCAACTTTCCTCCCTTTCCCATCTTTACTAACCTCCGTGCTTGCTTGTTGGCCTTCCGTTCTTCTCCAACTCAAAATGCTGTTAGAAAATTATAATATTTATATTTAATTTTTTATTAATTGAATAGAAATTAAATTGTGGGACCCGTGACTTTAAGTACATGAATTTTACGAATTGGTATGTATTAATTGAGAATAGTCATGTTCTTAATAGAGAAAAAATCAAATATTATTTATTTTGTTGTTTGTTAATAAAATAATAATATTTTATATGAAAAGTTGCATTATTTCATAGTAATTGAAACATTACGCTTCTTGGACATTTCAGAATAGAGATTTGCACCTCTATTTGAAGTTTGAGCATAACAGAAAAGAAAAGGTTCCTCTTCGAAAGAAGGTAACTTATGGTTGTAACGGGAAAAGACACATTTGTTTATATTTTTCAATCACATACTTTCTGAACAAAGGCCTTGTTGCCTATAAATAGAGAACGTCCTATAACATTTCATTCATCCAATTGTCATCCAACAATAGTCGGTTTTAGAGCATTTATAGCATTGTATTTTCATAAATATAGTGAGTTAATAAGAGTGTTCATACACAAGTTTGAGTTTGCTTTACTTGGGGATTGGAGTGCTACTTCAACAAGAAGTCAATCGATGTATCCTGGGAGACATTTGCCAAGCAAATCCTAAAAGCACCTGTGAGGAGGCAATTTCGTCCAAAGGAGCTAGAACCAAGTTCTAAACTCGATCATTTGTAAAGTATTTTTAATTTTCTTGTATTTATTTCGAATTTATAGTGAAGTTTTATTTTTATTCTATTATAATATTTATCTTTTTTGTAATTGCTATATTTATTGGTTTTTTAAGAATCTTAAATTTATTTTTGTTTCTTAAAAGTTGTTAGTTTATTTTTTAAATTAAACTATGGATTTTCCTCTTTATTGAAAGAAAATAGCTTATGTTACTTGTAGTGATAGTACTAGTAATAACAAGGGAAAAGGTGTGGCTCATGTTTTACCTGTGGTGATCCCTGCTTCCTCTTCTTATGGAGAGAAACATGTGAAGTTCAATGGAACTGATTTCAGGAGGTGGTAACACAAGATTCTGTTCTATTTGACCACACTCAATTTGGCCAAGTTCTTGAAGGAAGATGCTCCTGCTATTGGTACTATTGCAGAAGCGGTGGCTGTTGCAGACGCATGGTATCACTCAGACTTCCTTTTCAAAAACTATATCCTCAATGGATTGGAAAATACTTCGTACAATATATACCGTCCAATCAAAACTGCCAAGGCCCTGTGGGAGTCACTTGACAAGAAATACAAGACTGAAGATGCTAGCATGAAGAAATTCGTGGTTGGTCGATTTCATAATTTCAAGATGATGGACTTCAAGACGATCATCAACCAAGTCCAAGAACTTCAAGTTATTGTGCATGAGATTGAGATAGAAAACATGGTTCTGAGTAAGACTTTCCCAGTGGCTGCAATTATTTCAAGAATTATCTCAAGCATAAGCCCAAAGAGATGGGACTTGAAGATCTTATCGCGAGGCTAAGGATTGAGGAAGACAATCTTGGTTCTGAAAAGAAAATCGGTGGTACCTCCATGATGGCTAAAGCACATGTAGTGGAGGATGGGCCAAAGAAAAGAAAAAGAGGAAGCACTCAAGGGAAGGCTCTCGCCAAGGGAACTCAAAGAAGAACAAAGGGTTCAAGGGAAAATGCTTTAACTGCAACAAGCATGGTCATAGAGCTGCGAACTGTCAAAGCAAGGGAAAACCACAGAAGTTCACATGAACGACGAGGAGAAATTGTCGAATGAGATATCTGATATTAACCTCTTGCTTGTAATCTCTGAAGTGAACCTAGTAAGCAATACCAAGGAATGGTGGGTGGACACTGGAGCTACACGCCACATCTGCTTTGATAGGAAGATGTTTACTACTTATCAACTACTGAACCAAGGGGAGAAACTGTTCATGGGAAACTAATTAGCTTCCAAGGTTGAAGGACAAGGAAATGTGGTTCTGAAGATGACTTCTGGCACGGAACTCACCCTAAACCAAGTGCTTCATGTGCCTGACATTCGAAAGAATTTGGTTTCTAGAGCATTGTTAAGCAAGAATGGTTTTAGATTGGTATTTGAGGTTGACAAATTTGTACTCACTAAGAATGGGATGTATGTGGGGAAAGGGTACTTGAATAATGGTTTATTTAGATGAATGTAATGACTATTACCTTCTCTATGAATAATAAGAACGCAGTTAGTTCGGCTTATATTCTTGAGTCCCCAAATGTTTGGCATGGTAGACTAGGACATGTTAATTATGATATTATTTGTAGATTAGTTAACATGGATTTATTACCTAAGTTTAACATTGATACAAGTAAAAATGTGAAACCTGTATTGAAGCTAAACTTACTAGAACATCATTTCATTCTATAGAACGAAGTATAGAACCTCTAGATTTAATTCACAGTGACATTTGTGATTTAAAGTTTGTGCAAGCTAGAGGTGGTAAAAAGTACTTTATTACTTTTATAAATGATTGTACAAGATATTGCTATGTCTATCTACTTAGAAGCAAAGATGTGAAGCCTTAGAAATGTTTAAATATTAAAAGAGTGAAGTTCAGAATCAACCTAGCAAAACAATTAAGGTTTTAAGAAGAGATGTAGCACCCTTTGCTGAGTTTTGTGCTCCACATAGAATTATTCACCAAATTACCGCTCCTTATTCACCTTAACAGAATGGTATTGTTGAACGCAAGAACCTTACATTAAAAGAAATGATGAATGCTATGTTGATAAGTTATGGAGCATCCCAGAATTTGTGGAGAGACGCTTTACTTTCTGCAAATCATATTCTCAACAAATTACTTCACAAGAAGTTGGAAAAGACACCATATGAATTATGGAAAGGACGAAGACCTTCCTATAAATACCTCAAAGTATATGGGTGTTTGGCTAAGGTAGTGGTCCCTGAACCTAAAGGCCATGCTTGGTATGCCTCACTAGACTGGACTGTGTTAAATAACACTTGAAATCCATGTTGGGAAAGGGAGGGGACTAACTTAAGTGAGACTCTATAGTCCAACAGTTAAAAAAAAGGGACCCGCATGTCTAATATAGAGAGCCGAAATTGGGTTCGCAAAATAGCGAGTGTTATTTTGAACAAGCGAGTCCGACTGGATTTCCTACGGCTTGAATCAAGACCTCACCACCACAGACCCAATCAACGAATTGTGGTAGAATCCAGCGCTCCCCCTGGATTTCTTCTCCCTCATGACCACCACCCTCAAGCCACGCACAAACCCAGCACCAAGAATCCCAAGCCACCCTTAGATTCATCTCTCTTCACCACCCCAAGCCACGCACAGACCCAACACTGAAGAAGCCCAATTTGTAGTAGTTCCAAAAAATAAGACAAAAGCAGAAAATAATGAAACCATAAACAGAGAGAAGAAATAAGGAAAAAAAGAGGAAAAAAAAGAAAAAAAGAAAAAAAGAAAATGATAACAGAAAGAGAAGAGAGAGATAGAGGGGGGAGAAAGAAAAGAAGAATACTGGGCTGCTTTGTGGGCGTCTTCTCCTGATATTAGGAACTTTCTGCTTCCATCTTTATTTTAGATGGGACGAAAACACCAACACCATAAGCCCTGCTTTTAACACCAAGCTCCAGCGAGTCGAACGACAACTCTTGAGAATTCAATAGGATGGGCAACACCCTGTTCAGAGGCTCACCACAAACACAAGGGCTAGGGGTATGGTGCGTGTTGAAGGCTGCTTCTTAACCGTGAACGGATTTTAGTAAGTGGATCCACTCTTTGTTGGTTCCTTTCTCTGAATAAAATTTTATCTTTTAAAAAACAAACAAAAAAGAATAAAACACTAGACAAAAAAAATTAGAATTTTATATATTTATTTTTAGGTTAAAATTTGTAATTAAAGTTAAATATTAAACTAATTATTTTTTAGTCTGACATAACACCAAACATAGGTCTTCACTATTTTTACAATCCAGCTTCTTAGTCTGACGCAACACCAAATGTAGGTCAGTACTTAATCCAGCTTAAGTCAATCCGAGCTAATCCAAGACAATCCCAGGATTTAGTCGAGTCCATGACAATCCGTCGTACCAAACGACCCCAAAAATGTTAAAATAGGACCCAAAACCATTGATTGTGTATTTATTAGTTATGCTTCTAATAGCAGTGCATATCGATTCCTTGTACATAAATCAAATAATGATGATGTATATGTGAATACAATTATTAAGTCAAGGAATGCAACATTTTTTGAAAATGTTTTCCTTGTAAAGATGCACATGAGCAAAGTTCTCTTAAAAGAACTTATGATAGTAGTAATCTTGAAAATCATTTAGACCAATTTGACCTTGGACATGAAAAAGAGGTTGAACCTACAAGAAGTAAAAGGGCAAAGACATCTAAATCTTTTGGTCCTAATTTTCTAACTTATTTATTGGAAAATGAACCTCAAACTTATAAGGAAGCCATATCATCCCCTGAAGCTTCTTTTTGGAAAGAAGCTATCAATGCTAAAGTGGAATCCATTCTACAAAACCATACATGGGAATTAGTGGATCTTCTTCCTGCAAATAAACCTATTGATTACAAATAGATTTTCAAAAGGAAGATGAAAGTAGATGGATCCATAGATAAGTATAACGCAAGGCTATAGTACAGGGTTTTATTTTATTTATTAAGTAAAAAAAAAAAGCAAAAAAAAAAAAAAAAAAAAAAAAAAAAAAAAAAAAAAAGGCTTACACTCTTCACTACATTATTTTGATACACTAGTTACATAGAATAACATCCATTAGACATGCATTAATTGCAATTGATTTCTTTGCATAATCTTGAAATACATCAAATGGATGTTAAAACTGTTTTTCTAAACAATGATTTAGAAGAGGAAATTTACATGGACAACTAGAAGGATTTGTTGTTCCTGGACAAGAGAAGAAAGTTTGTAAGCTTGTTAAGTCTTTATATGGCTTAAAGCAAGCACCAAAACAATGGCATTTGAAATTTGACAATGCAATGATGTCAAAATGGATTCAAAATTAATGAGTGTGATAAATGTGTTTACATAAAAATCACTCAAAATGGTTATGTCATAGCATGTCTTTATGTAGATGACATGCTTATCATTGGAAGTGATAATGATATGATTAAATCTACTAAAAGAATTTTGTCCAATAAATTTGATATGAAAGATTTGGGAATTGCAGATGTTATCCTAGGAATTAAAATCTCTAGAACATCAGATGGAATAGTCTTGTGTCAATCACATTATATTGAGAAAATACTTGCCAAATTTGGTAAATATGAAGATAATCCTGCAAAGACTCTATATGATGTGAATCTTCATTTGACGAAGAACATTGGTGAAGGTATGTCACAAGTTGATTATGCACGAATAATCGGCAGTTTGATGTATATCACAAACTGTACTCGCCCTGACCTAGCATACTCAGTTAATAAATTGAGTAGATATGCAAGCAATCCTAGAAGAGATCACTGGAAAGCGATTATTAGGGTTCTTAGGTATTTGAGCTATTCTAAGAACTATGGATTGCATTACACAAGATATCCATATGTACTAGAAGGTTACAGTGATGCAAACTGGATATCAAATATGAGAGACTCAAACTCCACAAGTGGATATGTCTTTACGTTAGGAGGTGCAGCTGTATCTTGGAAATCTACAAAACAAATGTGTATTGCCAGATCCATTATGGAATCTGAATTTATTGCTTTGGATAAAGTTGGAGAAGAAGCTGAGTGGCTTCGTAATTTCTGAAAAGATATTCCAAATTGGCCGAAGCTTGTGCCCGCAATATGTTTACATTGTGATAGTCAAGCGACGACTGGAAGGGCACAAAATAGTATGTATAATGGTAAGTCTCGACACATACGTCGAAGACATAATACCGTAAGACAACTACTCTCAAGTGGTATAATTACTATTGACTATATAAGGTCAAGAGATAATTTAGCGGATCTGTTTATTAAAGGTTTGACGAGATAGCTAGTGATGCTAGGGAGCCGCTATAAGCTGCTGTCCAGCGACCCAAACATACCCAAAATCCAGAGAATAGAAGGATAAAGCAGTAGAATCGAAGTTGGAACAAAGATAATTGAGTTCTAGGGCAAAATCCCAACAGAAACTCTATAGACTAACGTCTGAAATTATATTCATCAACAAAACTAAATACAAAAGTCTCTAAATAGCCTATTTATACTAAAATACACCAGCCAAGCATTCCCGTTCCTAGTTTAATAAGAAACCCTAATTGACAAAGGAAATTAAAACCTAAACAGGAAATTAAACCAAATTCTAGTAAGAATAGGAAAACAAGTAATAAAATAACCTATTAATTTAATATAACTAAAACTTAGCCTTATTGGCTGATGCCCACTTAGATTAGGAAGTCTAATAGATGCTCCTGCATCAACTCCACCGGGTTGGGAAGAATTCTTCCTCGAATTCCAATCGTTTGGTGAAAACCGCCTAGACATAACCTCCTCTTAGATAAGTTGTCCATAGAACTTTGGCTTTGATATTGAACCTTCCCACACCAAAGAAATAGATATTTAGAATATTTGATCCTTCTGGAACAGTACCAGATATCTTCTGCAGCCAAACTCTCAGTCCAAAAACTCTTCACGCCAAAAACCCGTAGTCTAACAAGGTCAATGACGTTCTTGGTAGTTTGCAAATTAAAAGAATCAACCCCAAGAAAATCAGCATACTCATAAGTATCACCTTTGAAGGAATTCATCTCATCTCCAACAATTCCCCCAAGAATTTCTTGAATCTCCTTTCCTTCAAATGTGGGTTGATTGTGTTGCTTCAAAAGTTCAAACCCAGCTTCTTCGTGATTCACTGCCTTCAAGATTACACTAGATTCAGCTTGTTTACTCTCATCAAATACCTTGTCAAAAGCTTTCTCAATTCCCAAACAAACTTCACAATCTTCTTCCAAACAATAGTCAAACACGGGAGGGTTTTCTAAATTTAGGATATTGTCATCTTCTAATTTATTCGAAGCTCCCTCAACATCCTTCTTAGTAACAAGTGGATACACAGACGCCACCTTCTTGCTCTCAATGTCAAACTCATGGCAGAGTCCTTCTTCAAGCGACTGCAAAGTCCACTTTCTCCCATCCTTATAGAATGAATAGGTGTTAGCTTTAGTAGAATGCATCATGTCTTTGTCAAACAACCATGGTCTTCCCAATAAGATATGACATGCGTCTGTGGGAACAACATCACACCAAGCTTCATCCTCAATGGTATTACCAATAGTAAATTTAACCAAACACCTTGAAGTGATTGGTACTTCGCTTCCCTTTCGAAACCATGCAACCTTGTTGGGATTAGGATGCTTCTCAATTGGTAACTTCAATTTTTCTACCGCCTCCTTTGAAATAATGTTTTCACTACTTCCTCCATCAAAAATCACGTTGCACACCTTTTTCCCACAAAGGACTCGTGTTCGGAATATATTATGTCGACGCCAATCCTCTTCCTCAACTTTGGGAGTTGTCATCACTCGTCTTACCAACAAACATTCTCCTTCAACTGGTAAGAGATCAATAACTTCCTCTTCGTTGCCATAAACATCATACGATGGCTCTGGAAAGTTGATCTTATCACCTACCAAATTTATTCTTCTTTGTGGACAAGCGTAAGATTTATGCCCCGCCTCTCCGCAATTGAAACATCGAGCTTGTGAAGTACTTCCAGCCTTGGAATTCTTGACATTAGCGCCGTTTGGAGGATGAAATTGTGTTGTTTCCTTCCCCTTTTCACTCTTATTAGCACCCGAGTTCCTACCACCTATTCGGGTACTTGGATTGGCTTTTTCATCGCTTTGCGAACCCGTGTCTGGGTGGTTGGAAACTGCTCTCTTTCCACCACGACGCGGTAGTCTTCGCTCTGCCATTAAAGCATATTGTCGAGCATCTTCAAGGTTGAACAAACGAACCACCCCCATCTCATCTCGAATTGTCTGATTCAAACCAGAAAGATAACGAGATGTCATCTGTTCATTAGTCTCATTCAAACCAACTCGAATTGAGAGATTATTAAACTCTGATGTATATTCTTCAACAGACATGTCTCGTTGCTTTAAGTTATGAAACTGCTCATATAACTCCATGGTATAATCAGCAGGTAAAAACTGCTTTCGTAACTTGGATTTCATACGATCCCATGTGTTGATCTTCTGCTTCCCCTGCCGAGCACGCTGCTCTTCAACTCTCTTCCACCATTGAAGCGCGGTACTCTTCAATTTAAGCTTTACAAACAACACCTTGCGATCTTCTGCCATAGGCTTCCATTCAAAATAATTCTCTAGACTTGCCTCCCAATCCAAATAATCTTCAACATGCATCTTTCCATAGAAATCAACAACTTCAATTTTAATTCCTCCACCATTCAAATCCAACGCACGAACCAACCGCTCTTCCAATCCACCTCGATGACCACCACCATGGTTTCCAGCTTCATGAAAAAGGTTGTCGACGTCCGTTTCGTCTTCATATTCATCCTCACCACCACCTTCCGGTATGTGTAAGGGTCCGCGGTTGCGTTCCGGAATCTCCATATAGGCATCCGCGCGTTCCTGTCGTTGGAGGGCTTGCACCGCTCTCGACAAGTCTTCCATCATACGCCGCATCTCAGCCATCTCTGTGTGTTGGGCTTGGTTCCCTTGTCCACGACCTCTAGCACGTCCAACCATGGTGTGGAGCAAGGATTAACCTAGGCTCTGATACCAATTTGATGCAAGGCAACGGCTATAAGCTGCTGTCCAGCGACCCAAACATACCCAAAATACAGAGAATAGAAGGATAAAGCAGTAGAATCGAAGTTGGAACAAAGATAATTGAGTTCTAGGGCAAAATCCCAACAGAAACTCTATAGACTAACGTCTGAAATTATATTCATCAACAAAACTAAATACAAAAGTCTCTAAATAGCCTATTTATACTAAAATACACCAGCCAAGCATTCCCGTTCCTAGTTTAATAAGAAACCCTAATTGACAAAGGAAATTAAAACCTAAACAGGAAATTAAACCAAATCCTAGTAAGAATAGGAAAACAAGTAATAAAATAACCTATTAATTTAATATAACTAAAACTTAGCCTTATTGGCTGATGCCCACTTAGATTAGGAAGTCTAATAGATGCTCCTGCATCAGCTAGTTAACAAATCATCGAGGGGAATGGGGCTAAAGCCTATATCTCAATAGTTGCCAATATGGACACCCAACCTAGTTGACTGGAGATCCCAAGACCTAGGTTCAAAGGAACAACTAAGTTATCTGTGATTGAAGTACAAACACTGTGGAGATTTCATCCCTTGCCCGTTCCTATGATGATACAATGCTCCTTGCATCGTGTATGGTTAAGTTAAGCTTTTAATGATTCCCGTGACTTGGAAAACCAAGTGGAGTATAGCAGGATACTCTTTATAGGAAGTCACCTATATCAGTATGAAATGAGGCCGCTTCTATGAGAATTGCAAGGCTAAATTCTCTAAAGTACTGAAGAACACTAGGAGTGGTCCATGGCCGAAAGGACACAACCTAGAACCAATGTGTATGAAAAAGTATTATGTGAGTAATGTTGTTTCAGTTTACACAACGGCTGAACAGTTCAAGACATCATGCTCACTGATTAGCTAGTAAATTCGATTTTACTTCACTATGGAAGGTTCAAGGCCAAAATGACAAGACTCGACCCAAATTCCAATTTGGAATCTGCCCCGAACCCTGTGAGTGTCTGACACTTAGCAGGTGTCGGGCACACTTGACCAAATTGCCCATCTAAGACTCAAAATTTCATTTTAGGTTTGACTTTTGCCGAAAATTCGGCAAAGTCTTCTTTGTAAATTGCTCATTCCCAAAAATTTTCACCTGTACAACACACAATTCAAATATCCACAACTGTTCAGCATGTACAATGTTAGAATTCATGTAACCAAACAACAAATCTTTATGGCCTCAGGCCTTATAGAAATCCTAAGGCAATTTCAAAGCAATCTAATTCAGTAAAGTACAAAAGTAGGACAGTTATAGAGAACATCCTACATAGAGGGAAAAGAGGAGTGATGAGTTATGACCGCCCTGTGGTGGTGCTTTGGTACACGATTACTGCTTGGGGGAGCGAAACATTTAAAAGTGTGTGGACAAAATAAAGTTTTGGAAAATATAATATCAGCATACTAACCCCATTGTTAAAACCATTTGAAAATTCAATTATATTCATGTTCTATATTCATATAAAAATTAAGACGTGCATATTTACATATAATTGATCATGTATTCAATCAAATCATCAAAACCTTTTGAAAGCATTGTAAAGAAATAATTCCTTTCCACCTAGGTGTACCCATCATATATCCGTCAATTCCATGATTTTATATTTATTTCCCACATTATACCGTCAATTCCAAGTGTCACATAAGCGACACATCCTCGTAAGCCTCGGTAACACAAAGTCAATCCGAGCCGCATTCCACGGTCCGGATGTCCTTAAGACTCGTGGGGCAACTGTCAAACGCGCGCTCTCAACCGAAGGCAACTAGGATGTCTGTGGACATCATTATATCCGAATGCAACATTTTGGGTAACTATGATGGTTTAAAAACCTTTCCTGTTATCATTTCCTTTTTCTACTTTCCAAGCCATTCACATTAAACATAAACAAAATTTTATAAAGAAAATATTTGATTTCAAACTATATGCTTGGAAAGCAAAACAATAAATAATTCATTCATAAACAATTATAAAACTTTACTACATAAAATTCATTTATAAACAAAAGTCCACTCACTGTGCGTCCGAGCTAGCCTGACCGTTCGAGGGTCCTTCCTGCGAGTTCAATGAACCCCGAGTGCCTTGGCTTGAAGATCAATTCAACTGTTAAAGCCCTTGAACGAACTATTTCCTGTTTGAAAAACCTAGAAATTTTTTGGTTTGATTTCGTCAATTCTACATGGAAATGGGTCGGGTCTTTGAGGGAAATTACAAAGGGAAGGTAGGGGAGTGTTTTGGAAGTAATTTGGTGGTGGGTAATGGCCGGAGTTGGCCGGAAAAGCCGTCGGTGGCCGTTGTTTCAAAACAGCCGAAATGGGCTCGGATTTTTGTTCGAATTTTGGGTTTAATCCCTTGGATTTGGGGCTGGAAATTGGTATGGATGTGTAGAGGAGAGAAAGACGAAGAGAATGGGACCAATTTCGTGCCTGGAGTCCACCGAGGCCGAAAACGCTGCTGGAAGCCATGGAGGTCGTGGCTGTTTTTGAACAAAGGAGAGAGAAAGAGAGGTTTGCACGAGAGGGAGGAGAGAGAGAGGTTTCTAGTTTTTAAAAACTGACTTCTCAAAAATTACGAATGTGCCAATGAACTTCTTTTGATCGTAACTTATTCAATATAACTCTGATTTGAGCCCACTACGTGTCTACGGACTCATCTCGACGTGCTCTATGCAATGGTATAACTAGAATCCCCAGATTCCTTTCCAAACAAAAGTCAACTTTTAAACCATTAAAACATTCCTGAGGTTAAATCGTCTTTTAATTGAATAAATTAATAATTAAATATTAATTTAGGATCGGGTTATTACACAAAAGCTACCTGTCTTGATGTGGTGCCTTTCAATCGAATTCTCTCAAGTGTTTGCATTAACTAATTTCCATTCATGTGGGGAATTGTTAGAAAATTATAATATTTATATTTAATTTTTTAATTATTGAATGTAAATTAAATTGTGGGACCCGTGACTTTAAGTACATGACTTTTACGAATTGGTATGTATCAATTGGAAATAGTCATGTTCTTAATAGAGAAAAAATAAAATATTATTTATTTTGTTGTTTGTGAATAAAATAATAATATTTTATATGAAAAGTTGCATTATTTCATAGTAATTGAAACATAGCACTTCTTGGACATTTCATAATTGAGAGGTTCCTCTTCAAAAGAAGGTAACGTATGGTTGTAACAGGAAAAGACACATTTGTTGATATTTTTCAGTCATATCTTTTCTAAACAGCGACCTTGTTGCCTATAAATAGAGAATGTCCTACAACATTTCATTCATCCAATTATCATCCCACAATAGTAGTTTTTAGAGCATTCATAACATTGTACTGTACAAAGATTGCACGTCGTGACCAAGGACTTTCCTTTGCTCTTGATATGAGTTCAAACTTATTGTATTACCTTTTCTACATCAATAATATTCTATCGCTTCTCATTAAAAAAAGAAAAAAGAAAAAAAAAGAGCATTCATAGCATTGTATTTTCAGAAATATAATGAATTAGTAAGAGAGAGTTCATATGTATGAGTTTGCTTTTCTTGGAGATTGGAGTGCTACTTCAACAAGAAGTCGATCGATGTATCCTGGGAGACGTTTGCCAAGAAAATCCTAAAAACACCTATGAGGAGGCAACTTCGTCTTAAGGAGATAGAAACCAAGTTTTAGACTCAATCATTTGTAAACTATTCTTAATTTCCTTGTCATTATTTTATTGTATTTATTTCGAATTTATAGTGAAGTTTTATTTTCGAAATTATGTAAATATAGCAATTATCTTTATATTTTACGTACAAATGATGCTGTTATGGTAACTCAACCATCCAACCCTAGCCTCCACCCAGCAACTACACCACTGCCACTACCCCTAACTTTACCCACTCCCTCAGATAAAGACCTTCAATTGGGTAAACGAGTATGGTGGTTTGGATTGGATTAAGGCATTGGATGTGTCTCTTTGAACTACCAAATACTCTGTCTTTGAGAATTTGAGCCATTTTCAGTTTGAGCGTGTGGGGAAAAGGAAAAGGCTTTGGGGGTTACTGATGGTCCTGCTCTGTAGAGCCTTCGTTTTATGTCATTTTTGCTTGATTTTTAAAAAGGTACTGAATTTCACACACAGAGAGAAAAAGATTTCTTTATTTATTTGATAATCTTCTCCCAACTCAGACTCCCTACCACCCACATGCGTCCCCCATTTTTTCACTCTCTCATCTCTCTTCATACATCCTCTTCTCTCATGAGTGCTAGTGCTGCTTGGTTTTATATAACCCATGTGAAAACAGCAACAAAATCACACTGAAACACATAATTCAAACCACCACAATAACTCTCGATTTGTTCAATTGGGTCGGTGGTGGCTGTTACGATTCGATAGATTGGGTGGTGACGGTGGAGGGAGGCTATGGTGGAGGCTATGGCGTTGAGGAGTTTGATTCAAGCCAAGGATCTGACTGTGGTGAAGGCTGGCCTTGGAGTTAGAGTGGGTCATCTCCAGAGAAGGCCAGAAGTTATGGAGGCTGGCATAGGAGTTATAGGTCACCACCAGAGAAGGCCAGAAAACTCGCCTTATTAGGAAACAAGAAAGAGAGGAGAGGCGATGCCGAAGGAAACGAGAGAGAGAGGCTCAGGACTCGCTTGTTCTATACTAGAATAGCGAGTGAGGTGATTTTTTTTACTGTTGTCCAATACAATCCCATTTAACCCCCCCCCACCCCCCCCCCCCCCCCCCCCCCCCCCCCCCCCCCCCCCCCCCTCTCTCTCTCTCTCTCTCTCTCTCTCTCTCTCTCTCTCACTCAACACCATGGGTTTCAAGTTTTATATAACCCATTCCAATCCAGTGAGGCCTACCAAACAAGCCCAAAGAGTTTTGATTGGGAGGACAGGGTGGCGCGTGGCTAGGTTGAGAGGTGGTTTGGG